CTCCCTTCATCTTTTTGTGCTTTTCACCACTCCTCCTCTTGTGTAGGCAATGAAAACAACTAAGGCAGATGAGAATCTCTAAGAAGGTTTATCTTTTTCTGGAAATAAGAATAAACTGACTCCTTTATAAGTAATTGGCATGACATGAGAATTTAATTTAGACTCTTTAGGGTCATATTTAATTTTCTCTGGCTTGGTTAAGACTTAATTTCAAGTCTTAATTTTATATAGGGCAGGAAATCCCTGTGGAATTTTGGTGAGGTTATATCATTTTTAACAAGATTTCAGGATAGTCTTGGAACATGTTCTGTGTAACTAAATGGTAATAAATCCAGAGTATTTTAAAACTAAACCAACTCTGTTGTTCCCTTCTAGTCATTAATTCCTGGCAATTGCCTGGACAAGTCCTTGCAGTTCTCTTGACAAGATTTTGAAAGTGGTTAGCCTTCCTTCCAAGGGCTGAGAAAGAGTAACTGGCCCAAGATTACTCACCTGGCTTTGTGCTTAAGACAGAATGAAACGCCTGTTTTTAACTTAAACAAAAGTTTTTAGCCTGTTTCTTAATCGTTACACCAAACAGAGTTTCAAAGTTGACTTAGTAAGTTTTAATAATCATAGCTATTCCATGTGAACCATGGAAATTACGTGATGATGGAGTTAAGAGATTCTAAAAGGTCCTTGGTAATCTGTGGAATGTTTGTTCACAGACTTCCCTAAAAATATAGTGGTAAGGAATGTTGCATTTCTGTAGGCAACAAGGGGAAAAGGTGAATGCTATTTGACTGTATTATGCTCAAAGGCCATACAGCTAGTCCTTGACTTATGACCACAATTGAGCCCATTTTTTTTGGTTGCCAAGTGAGACATTTGTTAAGTTTTGCCCAATCAGAAAACCTTTCTTACCAGTCATTAAGTGAATCACTGCAGTTAAGTTAGTCACACATGGTTAAATGAATCTGGCTTCCCCATTGACTTGGCTTATCAGAAAGTCACAAAAAAGGTGATCCCATGACCCCAGGGAACCGCAACCATCATAAATACGAGTCAATTGCCAAGCGTCTGAATTTTGATCACAGGACTATGGGGATGCCACAACAGTTTTAAGTGCGAAAAACTATCATAAGTTACTTTTATTCAGTGCCAGTGTAACTTTGAACAGTCACTGAACAAACTTGTACTTCAGCAGTGCAGCACATGTTTAGCATGAGAATTTCCCTTCACACTTTTTGTGATGTTGAGGTAATAGGGAAAAAGAATGCTGCTTGAATTTATGAATAGCTGCAGCTAGCCAACCAGTATGAACCTGTAACAACAGACTGCCTGAACTAATAAGGAACAGCTTTCTTATGTATTGTATGAGCCACCAGTTGGAGAAATTATGATAGAATTGGTTCATTCATTAAGCCAAGGGTCTTCAAATTGGCAAGTTTAAGACTTGTGGACTTCAACTCCCAGAACTCCTGAGCTAACATGATGGGAGGAGGAATTCTGGGAGTTTGAAGTCCACAAGTCTTAAAACTGTCAAGTTTGAAGGCCCTTGCATTAAGCTATCAGCTACCAGTCAAACTGTGTGAACAGATCTATCTAGATCTAACGTTAAATAGGGCCCAGTTATCTTGAGTGCTGTGTCTGGAATGGGCCATTAGACATGGCAAATGAGAATGTAGATAAAAGGAATGTTCTTTCATATCCAAACAACAGAAAGTTCACAGGGAAAATTATAATACAGATTGAGGTTAGCCTTCAGTGCCTTCTGCATGTCAGCATTTTCATGAAGGGGGATTTAATCGCACAAATTCTGGTATGTGTGAAATGGGGATCTGATGATTCTGTCCTTCAGACTGTCGCACTTCTGTGAACATTTGAGATTTCACTATTGTGACTAAGACGGTCTTTGGAACCCACTTCCCTTCCTTTCCCAATCAGTTTTTTTTTCCCCTCCCCTTTGCAGTAGAGGAGAAGATGAAGATGAAAAGTTCTCCCATTTCAAACACTTTGGAGATGCAGTTTTGTTTCTGTGCACATACAATATAGATCAGGGGTCTCCCAACTTAGCAACGTTAAGACTTGTGGACTTCAACTCCCAGAGTTCCAAGAGTTAAGTTCACAAGTCTTAACGTTGCTAAGTTTGGAGATCCCTGGTATGGATATCCATCTGAGACAGGGGCCATAAAACGATGCAAGCTGGTGCAGGAAACTTAAGGGAATATTAATTATGGCTGGTGTGTTTGTTGTACTTTCAGAGTGAGATTTTAAAAACTCTGTTCCACAAAAGGATTACTTAGTGCCGTCCTTTAAAATGTTGAAGTCACCAAGGGTACTGCAGTCGGGGGGGTATTTTATTAGGCTGTTAGATAAGGCTAACTTTTGTTCTTCCCCACAGGAAATAAGTATGTTCCCCGGGCAATCCTCGTTGACTTGGAGCCGGGCACAATGGATTCCGTCAGGTCTGGCCCTTTCGGCCAGATCTTTAGACCTGATAACTTTGTCTTTGGTATGTAATACTAATTATGTTTTTCTCCGATTACATCTTAAATAACTGCAGCATAATCCCTACTATTCGATTTGTTCTAAGTCAGAGGCAGGCACTATGTGTCCCTAAGTGTTGCAAAATTTAAATTTCAAGCAGTCCTGATCAGCCTGGCCTCAGCTGCTAGGAACACTAGAGCAGCCCCACCTGGAGGCTTTGCCTTCCTCTCAAGGGTGTCAAACTTGCGGCCTACGGGCTGGATGCGTCATGCACTAGCCATGCCCACGCCCAGTTTAGCGAAGGGGGGGAAAAGTCACAATACGACATGTGATTACGACGTGCTTTACATGCATCTTATAGTTCTAATGAAATATATAAAAATGTGTCATTGGTAAGATCCATTGATCAGTTCAGCCCCTGTTGTATAATCGTAACCGAAATGAGCATCACTGCCAAGATAACAAAAAGATGGTATAACTACTACAGCCTAAGTAAGAAGATCTCCACATTCGCTATTTGATGAATATTCTCCCTGATCCATTTCTTATCTTTTTGCTTCAAATTACAAAATGTGGGAGATCTCCAAAATTTTGTCTCTTGGACTAATGTCCTCCACTCTTTTCTCCTGTATTGAATGCAGCTATTTCTCATCTCTGCATGCTACAGATGTAGGAATGAACAAAATTGACTTTTCTTGGGCCAGATGACAAATTTAGCTTGGATTGAATTTGGCCCATAGATCAAACATGAATATTACTTTAGCATTCCTGGCATGTAAATGGTTTTGTAAGCATCTCTTTTCTTTCTAATGATTCCTCTAGGCCAGAGTGGCGCTGGGAACAACTGGGCCAAGGGCCACTACACAGAGGGAGCTGAGCTAGTGGATTCAGTGCTGGATGTAGTAAGGAAGGAGTCTGAAAGCTGCGATTGCTTGCAGGGCTTCCAACTCACCCACTCGTTGGGTGGGGGCACTGGGTCTGGCATGGGAACCCTTCTCATCAGCAAGATTAGGGAGGAGTACCCCGATAGGATCATGAACACCTTCAGTGTAATGCCATCTCCAAAAGTGTCAGACACCGTGGTTGAGCCATACAATGCCACCCTCTCTGTCCACCAGTTGGTAGAGAACACGGATGAAACCTATTCTATTGACAATGAAGCGCTGTATGACATCTGCTTCCGCACACTGAAACTCACAACTCCAACCTATGGCGATCTCAACCACTTGGTGTCTGCCACCATGAGTGGAGTGACCACCTGCCTCCGGTTCCCCGGCCAACTGAATGCAGATCTTCGCAAGCTGGCGGTCAACATGGTGCCTTTCCCTCGTCTTCACTTCTTCATGCCCGGCTTTGCTCCCCTGACGAGTCGCGGCAGCCAACAGTATCGTGCCTTGACGGTCCCAGAGCTGACGCAGCAGATGTTTGATTCCAAAAACATGATGGCGGCCTGTGACCCCCGCCACGGCCGATACCTGACGGTGGCAGCCATCTTCCGGGGCAGAATGTCCATGAAGGAGGTGGATGAGCAGATGCTAAATGTCCAGAACAAGAACAGCAGCTACTTTGTGGAGTGGATCCCCAACAATGTGAAGACGGCCGTTTGCGACATTCCTCCCCGAGGCCTGAAGATGTCTGCCACTTTCATCGGCAACAGCACCGCAATCCAGGAGCTCTTCAAGAGGATCTCGGAGCAGTTCACAGCCATGTTCCGGCGGAAGGCTTTCTTGCACTGGTACACTGGCGAAGGCATGGATGAGATGGAGTTCACGGAAGCCGAGAGCAACATGAATGACCTGGTCTCTGAGTACCAGCAATATCAAGATGCTACTGCAGACGAGCAAGGAGAGTTTGAGGAGGAAGGAGAGGAGGATGAAGCTTAGAGGTTGAGTAGGGTTAGTCCATAGGCAAGTGAGGGCTGTTCAGCTGTATGAGTGCATGCTTTTCCAGTTATTCTTGGTGCTTTTTTCCAGTGTTGCCTGTCAGCAGTTTTTGGACCCTGCTCTATTATTGTAATATTTATGCACTGGCAAGATGATTTAATTAGGGAGATATAAATCCTATTAAATTTTGAAGTTGGACTCTTCATCAACAATGCTGGCAGTAGGACCAGCTCCACACTATATATTAAAATCTTAAGAATAAACTTGATTCATGCAACTATAGATTCATGCAACTATAGATTCATACAACTATAGATTCATGCAACTATAGATTCTGCACCCTTAATTGGTATTTAAGATAATTCTCAAGGAAAATTCCTGCAGGCATTAAAAATTTATTAAAGAGAGATGTTATAATACTTTATCTAAATTAAGAAAGAGATTTATGGAGTGCTTTGCAAACAAAGATGCTCTAGATTGGTTTTTTTTTTAGGTGTGTTGTAATATGCAATTCCCAGATTTTCTAGACAGCACAAGATTTTCTTTCTTTCATGGGAACAGTAGGATCTACAGTCCCAACACTTCTGAAGGGGATTTCATTGGAGAAGGCTTGAGTATCCCTTGTTACTGACCATTTATCTTGATTCAGCTAGAAAGGCAGTAATCAAGGAAGATCAGTATCTCTACCAATTAGAGTAAGCAGAAATCTTTTTTTTTTTAATCTACCCCATGAAATATTTTCGCACATGCTAAAGAATACTCTACACAATTGCGGAGGCAGTAGGTAAATTTATTTTGATTAGGTTTTCCTCGTCTGGTGCTCTCACAAGAATACCCACTGGATAAAAGTGTTTAAAGTTGCAATTAGAATTCTGGGTGTAACTTGTAACACTTTGTGATTCGAATTGATCATTTCCAACTTTTGGGATCAGGGTCCTCAAAAGACACAGGTATTGCAACAACTGGTTTCTAAAACTATTTTTTTTTGTAACATAGGAAATCATTGGCTTGTAAAGTTAGGAGCTTTATTCCCTCTCACTTTAAGAACCAAGGTGGGTTTTTTTTTTCAATATTTGGAATCACTATGTTCCAAATCATGTCTGCAGCCTTTTTCTTTAAAAAAATAAAACTCTTTAAGACTTTGAGGCAGAAACAGGCACACTTGCAACTAGAATACTAGTAGAGCAGGCATGAATTCAGACGGCTGTGATTGAGCATGTTTTCTGTGGCACTGTCTTCTTACGTTGCTTCCTTTTGTGCATTGTGTAAAGTCTTCAAGAATGTCTGCAGTAAAATTCTACAATAGCTTTTGTGTGGTGTTCAATGTTGAGGCATGCATTTTGGATAATGACTTCTGTCTGTGCTTTTCTTCAAGATTGAATCTGGGCAATAAAAGTATTTATTGAAACTTATGCAGCCCCCCTAAATATTTTTTACAAAGCTTTTGAGAAAATATTCCTGTTTTTAGCAGTTTTTAATCATTTTCCATGTCCCATGGGGAATTATTGGCATACATCCGTTTTACCGCCATTTGCAGAAAAGATGGGTAGGGCACGGAAATTCCCTTGTCACACTCTATCTTAAGAATACAGTGCCCTGTTGCCAGTTTCAGCTGAACTATACCAGTCTCTCAGGAACAGCAAAGAAGTAGGTGCTTTACACTAGAAATTCTTCTACCATTTTGTTAAACTCTTCTGCAAACCGTAGATGTAAATTGTGTTTTCCTTCAGGCATAAAATGCAACCTGCAATGACAAAAGGTTGAATAGGTTAAAGTATACCAAGGAAATGGGTACCAGCTGACCTTAACTTGCTGTTTTCCAAATGACATTAAAATTAGAAACGGCAGCCCATGGAAATCCTGCTTTGTCATTCAAGGCGTTGCGAGTTCTAGCACACTAAGGGAACACTGGGTTGGTAAAGATTACTGTACACACTTGTATAGAGATGGAGAAATAGGCTGATGCAATAGAAAGAAACCAGTGGAGAAACAGAAATATATGATCTGAAGCCAACTCATAGAATACTCTGAGCTAAGGCCTGATCATTTCTTTAGGCCTCTGTAAGTACGGGTATTGCAATAGAACCAATCTGTTTGGAAGAACCTAAATGAGAGTTTATGGCTGATTTTAACTCCTAAAGGAAACGCTGAATGAACAAATGTCGCTTTCTCTTTGGTTATGCTATCTGTGGGCATAATGGAGATTGAAGTCTAAAGCAGGGGTCTCCAACCTTGGCAACTAAGCCTGGAGGACTTCAACTCCCAGAATTCCCCAGCCAGCTTTGCCCCTCCAGGCTTAAAGTTGTCAAGGTTGGAGACCCCTGGTCTAAAGCATCCACAAGCAAAACAGATTGGGGATCAATGTGGGGCTGTTTTTATCCCACATTAGTTTTCCTTAGAAATATGTCTCTGTTCAGTGAAAGAAGGCCTTACCACTACCAAAAGCCCATAGTCTGTTTCCTAAGAAACAATCCTTGATGTTTCTTCCTGTAGTTACTTGTCTCAGACCATAAGCTCCAACCTTTTGGATTAGAGCCATGGTGGCACAGTGATTAGAAGGCAGTATTGCAGGCTAATTCTGCTGAATGCTGATTGCCAGCGGTTCGAATCTCACTGGCTCAAGATTGACTCAGACTTTCATAGTTCCGAGGTCGGTAAAATGAGGACCCAGATTGTTGGGGGCAATAGGATGACTCTGTAAACTGCTTAGAGGGGGCTATAAAGTACTGTGAAGCGACATATAAGTCTTAAGTGATGTTGCTATTGAGCCTTAATGGATTCACAGTGAATGACCCATATCACCCTGGTGATATGTATGTTGCCAGAATGAGAGGGTGGGTTAGTAGTGAAGGATAACCCAATTAACATTTCATTTTACTGCTGTTAATTCCAAGTTTATTTTTATCATGCCTTTATTATTTTTATAAATAACTCAAAAGCAGCGAATGTACCTACTACTACTTCCTCCTATTTTCCTTACAACAACAACCCTGTTGAGGTGAGTTGGGCTGATGGAGAGCGACAGGTCCAGTTACTCAACCGGTTTTTCCTGCCTAAGACTGGACTAGAACTTGCAGGCTCCTCGTATCTAGGCTGGCACTTAACCACTAGACCAAACTTGCTCCCAATTTGCATTCTCAAGCAGAATAGAGATTTGTGCTTCAGGGAAATCTGTAAGGTGAACTTAATGTGCAAATCTTAATTCCTTAGCAATCATGGAAATATTTGTATATCTCTGCAGCACTCTTAAATTTTTCATAGCACCTGAAGTCACCTATAACAAAAGCAGGAAGGCATAGGAGGCAGTTAATGTTTTACAAAATGATAAATATTCATTACATCAAGATCCTCATCCCACCAGTAAAATATGAGACTTACCGTGAACCTCGGATATGCTTGTGGATGTATTCTGCATGAAAACGGGGTACCAATGGATCTTTCTCACCATGTATAATTAGTGTTGGGCATTTAATATGAGGCAGCAGTCGCTGACAGATATCACCTGTGGGGGAACAAACTGAAGTAAATGATCAGATGTCTGCAAGGAGTATAAATCCTTCCATTCCCCACCATACAGTGAGAGCTGAAGAAGCTTCATGGATGAATGTCTTCAAAGAAAAACAAAGTCTGATTGCCTCTTGAAAAAGCATCTTTGGGGCAACCATGACCTGGATGACTGAGAATCTCCATAGGCATTATACTAAAATGAATCTTTATTTAAAACAGGCAAAAAAGTAAAAACAATATATTTCCCGGTTGCAAAACAGCTGTATTTCTCAAACATTAACATCATTGATGAGCAATTCAGAATAGCAAATGAGAGCAGTTGGCCAAGAACAACATGTTGCATTGTATTAATCACAGCTGCAACATTTTTTTGTGTTCTTTCCAGATTCCCTCCCAATAACGAACACTCCAGTTAATCAAATGCAGATAGTTAAATGAGAGAGCCCATTCAGTTTAATGCAATGGCATTTTATATCAGTAGGGTGAACCTAATTTTTCTTCATCTTTTTTTTTTTTGCTGTCTAGTTAATGCAAACAAAATGCAGTTGATACAGACGTGATAACTGCCTCTCCTCCATATAATGACAAATCATATTTATGAGTTTTTCCAATGAAAACATAGTTGATTTTCATGGAAACTGAAGGTTATTATTTTGCTTTTGGGGTGATTCAATGTAGTTTTTTTTAAAAAAGTAAGCTACATTCAACTGACAAAGTAACCAAACTCTGTGACCAGTATAAATATAAATTGCAAAAAAAATAATAATTCCAAGTAAACTACCAGTGTTTCATTCTGTGTATCTTGTTTCATTGTTTCTATATGACAGGGGTGTCAAACTTGCGGTCCAGAGACATCATGCACTGGCCACGCCTGCATCCAGTTTAGCGAAGGGGAAAAAAGTCACGATACATGTGACAACAACATGACGCCACGAATTTCACACCCCTGCTATATGAGAAGGGAAAATGAACAATGCTTGATTTCTTTGTCCTTAAATGTAGTCTGCACAATTAAAAATTACACTTGTAACATGGTTCAGAAAATTGCTATATCCCTTCCATCTCCAAATATATCTAGAAGATTAAATCTTGATGCTCTTTCTTCATACATGGAACAACAATGTTCCTATACATGTCCTGGTCTAAGCCTAGGCACAAAAAGAAATACCTACACAAGAGAAATTTCATGGGTTTTTGAAACAAGACAACTGTGCTATGACCATAATGAAAAGTCTGTTAGGTAAATCTAAAGATTTCATCTGAACTTTGAAATTCACAGATTTCACATTTTAGGCAGAACTACCATTCTAAAAGGGTCTTGTTGGGCATATATGAAAACTGGAAATTATTTCTTAAATTTGTTTGCCGCCCTCCTTCGAAGTGACTCTGTGAATCACCAAAACGTTAAACAGAGGGTAGTAATTATGACTGCTGGGTTCATTTCCCAGTCTAGATGCTAATTCGGTGCCTTTCCCCTAATTTAACCTTTCTATCCTTGAACATGTTGAACAACAGTTACAAGCAGAAAGCATTTAAGTTGACCTTGCTGGAAAAACCCAACCAGGTGGTAATTAGTTCTGGACAATTATTGCTTTTAAACTACTACTGGCAATGATTGACTTAGCTCCAGAGAAGGAGAAATAGGTAAAGTTAATATGTACCATATTTAGAATGGAAGTAAAATAACACAAGCATTTCATATGCAATAAAACAACTTCTTGTTCTCCCCTGCATTCCTATCAAAGGTTGTTTGGGGGTGTGGAGGTGATGGAGAGTTATTTTAGGGTGTTTAAAAATGAAGTTTTCTTTCACACACACACACCCTTCTCTAGGTAAACCCGAACATTGCCTCAGGTTATGAATGAATTAAAATAATTAGAACAATCACACCTATGTTGTTCTTACGATCCAGCCTGGAATTAAGCAGAAACCAGTCTGAAGCTTATATCATGTGCTTTGCAGAGTATAATTGACTCAATAAAGCAGGAATGAAATAGGAGCATTTCAGCTACTATTTGTTTGGCCCCAAAACATTTTTGTTCCATTCAGGAAACACAATACATTGGTAATTCTTGGCAATTAAAAAAAAAATATTAATCTATAGGTAAAATTGTCAGCCTATAAGAAATGCTGGCTTCAAGGAACTGTTTCCCCAGCTACCTGAGTCCTATCTACCATGGAAGGCAATCATTGCTTTGAAGTTTATTCTTCATCCATAAAAGGAAAACCTCAGATGTGCTGTGTGAATTTCCATGGAAGGTTGGCTTGGATAATTTATTTCACTAAAGGTTGGGTTTTCTTTGTTAGAACTCTGCCCTCCCTCCCTCAAACCATCAGAATGAAGGAATTTTGAGTGCAAGGATCTTCTTTTAGAGTTCCAGAACAGTACAGATAGTTCCTTGACTTACAACCACAATAGAGCCTGGAATTTCAGCCGTATGTCATTGCAATCATAAGGTGAGGTACCATGTGACCAAATTTGATTTTATGACTTTTTATGGTAGTTGTAAACTGCATCATGGTCATTAAATGAACATGTGGTCATTAAGCAAATCCAGCATATCTAACGGGTGTTTTTGCCATTGCAAATCATGATCATATGACCACAGGCTGCTGCAACCAGTCATCAATGCAAATCGGTTGCCAAGTGGAGTGTGATGCTAGTTCGCCTCTTCACGATGCACCTGGATAGCATGATAGTGTGAACCAAACGACTAGCAACAATTTGGCAGCCAGACTACATTGAAGAATTGGTAATTAATGACAGTGGGCAGCCAGACATCTTCATAGAACTCCTGGCTCTCCAAATACATGGCAATAAACACCGGCTTTTGTCATAATCGTAGTTGTGTTGATTAGGGGCTGAGCCTAACAGGACATATCGAGGCTGGTTTCCAGCGAGGCTTAAAAACCACAGCTGTGTTCATTGACTTTATTGTAGCATATGATACTGTGTGGAAGAAGGGTTTTGATCTTCCTCACCAGCATTGGTCAACTCTGCCAGGACTCACTGTTGAAGTGGCATCTTGTCTCTATCCCCCAGTGTGACTGTGGTGTTCCTCGACAAAATATCCACCACAATATGTCCAAATGTCCATCAAGAGCTTAGGATCAATGTCTGATTTTTTTCAACATAGACCACCCTGTCTTTGAATGGCTGGGTGGACTGGACATTAACATTTGAATTACTGCACTATAAGTTCATGTATTTGCCATACCCTAAATAAATAAGTTGTCTAGTGCCTGAAATGTGACTGGGAAGGGCATGTGGCAGACAACTGCTCATAAGTCGAGGACTATCTACAAAGAGTTTATAATCTTTCCATACAAAATTATATTTCTAGATGTTCTGACAAACTGTTTTAAGTCCAGGGCTGCCTGTACTGTACTTCAATAAATACTTCACCCTTTGGCACTTCAAGTTCTCCACTTAGAGAAAATGAGGGGCTGATTACAAGGTTATACTTTACTGTTAAGGGCAGCTCCTGCAATCAAAATGGCCTCCAGCTGTGTTCAATTACAATATTCCAACCCAGCTACGGTGAGTGTTGGGTAATGCTGACTGAGGATGATGGAATTTATAGTCCAACACCTCTTGAAAACATTAGGCTCAGAGACACTTCTTTATTCGTTCCCAGTGTCTATGGTCATTTATGGATGCAAAGGGCTTGAATGAGCTCATTCAACTTCATCAAGCATAGCACCATGATCTTCTGAAAGCAACTATGTCTCTCTCTTTTACATGCAACTTTTCCTGAAAACTACATCAAGAGAAAGATGGCAGGAATGAAAGTTGTAGCAAAGTCAGGAGGAGAATGTATTTGGGATATGGGAAACAAAAAAGTTTTACTTTTTTGAAAAAATGAGATAAAACAAACTAGGCCGCAGTTCCAGTTTCTTACCATCTGACTTTTGCACAAACTGGGAGATTCCATCTACCCAAGCTGAACCTATTTTGCTGAAATATTCATATCCATACATTTCTTCCAAAGGTTTTCTTGTTTTTTCACTCCATTTTGAAACATCACGGATACCTGTATGTAATGATAAAATATAGTTTCCCCATCGGTATTATCTTTGACCTGATATGCAATTTTTAAATGCCTGTCTGAGCATTTTGAACCCACAGGGTATTTTAAAAATTACTAAATTGTTTGAAAATAATTAGAGACTATTTAAATGCATACAGTATACCTCATATTTTGATATGTTGGCTGCAGAACTGACATTATTTTATATTATTCCTAAAATGTATATTCTGAGGAACTGAATCAACCAATTAATTATTTGAAGAAGTTAGATGCAAAAACCTCTTTATTCAATTTGGATTATCCAATTTAGTCAATTAATTATGATCTTCAGGATTTCATCTGATTACTTGGATTTGATCCATGCAAGTTTATGATATGCTTTAGTAAGATTTTTTTCTAATCTTCAGGCACTAAAAATCTCTGGGGTTATTGTAGCTCCTATAAAACATGACTACTGTTGAGGTAATTCCCCGTTAGGAGAATGAGCGCATACGGAGACGTATTTGAGAGGAGTGTTTGGATAGTACACATACAGAACACGGATACACTGTACAGTAAATGTAGGTTTTTACTTCCAGAAATGTTAAGCAAAGTCCAAAATAGGCAGTCCAAAGTCATTCACAGGTAAAATCAGTCAGTTTTCATCCAGGGATAATCCAAATATCAAATTCCAGTGTCAAAAACAGTTCAGTATCAGACTTACATTAAATTCATGAATATCAGTCAATTAGGAAAAATGGAGAAACGACAATATTTTCCAACAGAAGGAAGCAGAGACACTCACTCAGACACACACTCTTCTGAGACTAAGACTAAGACAAACTAGATTTCTGGCTCCATCTTATGGCCGTTTGAGAAACCACACCTAATTACAGTTTTGCATTTTCTTAAAGATAGTTTTAAAATATTTATCCTGGTTTATATATTTCTAACCCAAATAGCTGTTAGGTGACTCATATTCCTAACAACTACGTCGTTGGAAATATTTGCATTGGAAATGAGTTTGTAATAGACAGAAAGTTTTAATACATTTCTAGATTTTGAGAACCATAAGGTAGGATTTCTAATGACTTCAATGAACAATTGTCACTGTAGAACATTTAGACAAATATGTAATGTAAGCATAGAGGGTCTATAACAACTTCCCATGGCAAACTCGTTGAAAGATAACTCACCGTGGCCAATTCACTGTGGGACAACTTACCACCGCAGGATAAAAGTTACACTAATATATTAAAAAATAGTCATTAATGGAATCATTAAAGAAAGGATGCCAAAGAAGGCAAAAAATAAAATGAGAACGACAAAAATTAAAATAATTATTAAAATTAAATTGTTGAATTGTCCCACAGTAAGTTGTCTCATGGTCAGTTGACCTATATAGTAATCCCATCCATACCTCTTTTTTTTTCATTTAGTCTATAACTAGTTTTAGCAAACTGCTTTTTTGGTTGGTAGTATAATATATTTCATGATTCTATACCTAAAGTATTAGGCAGCTTCAGAAAAGGCATTTGGATCCCTTTGTTTAACTTTTTAAGCATGGAAAATGTTGCCCAGATCCTGCTCAGCCATCCAGTAAACTGGTACAAAAAGACTTTACATATAGTGGTATTGAACAGAATGTACAGTTTCATATTTCAAAATTACTCAAGACAACTATATGAAACTTATGAGCTATGCAAATGAATATTCAAAGGATGCGTAGTAAGGGAGTTGTTCAAACTGAATACTTCCTTAGAGAAAGTAATCAACATTTGGACCATTTTCATATCCAGTATCTTTAGCAGTTACTGTAGCCTATTAAATATTTATCACCTTCAGATGCTTTAAGCAACATTAGAATTTTGTCTTACATACCCATTTCAGAAATCTTAGCTCCAATACTTTTTACCAAGAAAGTAAAGTGTCCATTTAAGTGGCATTTGCTGAGTAGAAAAGTGAAAATGTATAATTATTGTGTTAATTGGATTATTTTCTTCCACAGAGTAATCTGTTATTCAAAGATAGTAACTAATTTTATTTCTTTTGTCTGCTGCGCTATTTCTCATTAAGAGAATCTAGATTTTTTTTAAAAACAAACAAAGTTGTAATGGTTGTTTTTGTGTTTCATTTGTTAGCCATACACCATGCTACTTAATTAAGTGAAAATATCTTGTTTGGTTTACTGGGTTTTAAAACTAGCTTGGTCTAGAATAAGGATGAAATGAAAAATTCTCATTCAGTTAAATGCAGTTAACAGGCAAAATAAAAAGCAAAATAATTTATTTTTGATTGAATTTTTTTGACTGAAAATACAGTTATTCTTTTAAAAGATATACTTATAATATGTGGCTATACTAAATATTTATATATGCCTAGTATGTGTATGTGTATGTGTGCATCAGAATTCAGCAGTGTGCCACATGCAAATGCTCTGCTGCCAAAGTATCTCAAACTGATTTAACGACAAGGGCGTAAGTCATGATTCTAAGGTCCTTCCACTCCAGGTACAGCCTATATCATGCTACTGGATCATCTCTTCCAATGGGTTCATGTACATATTAAAATAAATAAGGGAGAGATTTAAACCCCAAAGCATGACATATTGGAGAGCCCGAATGTTGGTTTAAGGTCACAAATGACATCTCATCTCATAGGGAATGTCTACTTCATCAACATCTACAAACTCAAATGGCTTCTGACATGACACCGCAGGATATTATCCCTATCCGCTCTTCAGAATCCATCCAATTGGCTTCCAACTGCAAACAAATGTGAATTTTATCTGTCAAATGCCTTTCTAAAAGGTTGTAGCAGCCCTCTAGTGGTTCTTCCCTGACACAATTGTGGTCACCCTAAAAAAGGTTGCTAGATAGCATCCAATGGATAAGTTCAGATGAGTTATAATGTAATGGAGTTCCCTCTGAAAACCCATGAGATTCATTAAGTGATTAGGGTGGATATCTATCACTGATCTATCCTCTCTACATAGATTGATGGTGCCACTTAACTCCATTGGTGATCAATTCGCAACAACAGACTGATTTCAACATCCTCCACTTTTGAGCTGCTCTGGAACATCAACTAGATCCAATGTGTGGACTCCTCTGTATGTACAGCTTATGATGACCAATCCATGCACAGCCCTGGGGTTACCACAGCAACCAAAAAAATCTTAAGCCATCTCACTCCATCAGGAAGACTGAAATTATTAAGTACTGACAAACTGGGAGATTCAACCACCAACCCATCGTAATATATTTCAGTTGAAAACCCTGAGATATAAATAAGATTTTGGCATTTTTGTGTGAAATCACACATTTTTATTTATTATTAAGGCTGGTGTCCAAACCACTGCACAATATCATACAAATACTGTGTGACTGATGACCACTAATGGTATAAATTATGATATTCTTATATTATTGTAATGTGAAATGTTATCATTTAAGTTATATGGATAAAATATGCATTAATATCATACTGATGCATTTAGCACTTAAATATTTTTTCTTACAGTATCCATATGCTTTAATATAAATTCTCATTATTATTAATTTAAATGTATTATAGCTGCCCAACTCCAGTGGAATCTGGGCAATGTACAAAACAGAAAAAAAATCCATAAAAACAGGTAAGACTTAAAACCACACAGAAAGCCCAGACTGAAACAATTTTAAAACGACACAAATCAAACTAAACTAAACAAAACAAAACATGGTTCCTGAAAATACAATATTTTAAGCCCAGGCCTGGGATCAAAGCCAGATTTTAACAGCTTTCTAGAACCTTCATCCATCCCAACAAATTCTGAATCGTCAGTGTCTTGTTGAGCATAAGGAAACAGATCGGAAATAACTCATTTTCATGGATGTTAGCTGATACCTACCATTGTAAATTTTCACATCTTCTTCTGTAACGGTCGCATTGGCTCCCCACACCACCATTTTGCAGATCAATTCTGGATATTTTGCAGCTGCAATGAGTGCGGTTATTCCACCATCGCTCCATCCCAACAAAGAGAACTTCCGAAACTTCAGTGCCTTGTTGAGCGAGCATAAGGAAGCAGATTGGAAATAACTCATTTTCGTGAATGAAAATGGCTTGTCCTAAAGTTAACTGATTCTTCAAAAGCGACACCTCGCTGATATAAAAGGAATTTAACATGGCTAAATTACGGCAACGAAGCTCAGTAAATTTATTGAATTATATTACTAAATCATAATATTCATATTAAATAATTCTAACTGCAACAAGGATCAGCAGTTTTGTTTAGGTTGCAATGACCACAGGGCATTCAAATAATAGCTGGAGCCTTGTATCTAGTTAAATCTACCCAATTTGCATAAAAATGAAATGGGCATGTGACACTAGGGATTACAGAATTTCCTCATCAAGGTAGAAGGTCAGAAAGAAGTCTGTCTGGAAACACCAGTGGGAGGATGGATCACCCACAAGGAGAGAGCGCTACCTCTTTCACTGCCCTTGCAATAGTTTTCTTACCACTCTTCAATCCATGTGAATAGGTAGAATAACACCAATTGTTACCAGTGCAGTAACATATTCTCTAGAGCAGGGGTCACCAACCTTTTGGACCTCAGGGATCACCAAACTCAAATCCCTAATATGAATTTTGACTGATGGTAGCTTGCTGACATTGGTGGGAAAGTAGGCCCCATATTCCAGAGCTGCAGTAGTCACAGGACTGGCCCTTTGGTTATCCCGGAGCAACTGCTCCTCCACCTGGGTGCACCGGCGTGCCATGGACTGGAGGAGCTGCTCCAGGATGACCAAAGGGCCAGTCCTATGACTACTGCAGCTCTGGAATATGGGGCCAACTTTCCCACCAACATCAGCAAGCCACCCCGGGGCAGATTTCCTTCCCCCGCCATTGGCCTTACCTTCCAGTTCCAGCTCGCGTGGCTGTACTCAAGGTAAGGTTTGCACTCGGCCGAAGGGCGGGGACCAGCGGGTGGGTGGGCCATGTGGGCAGTGCAGCTTAGTGTTCCCGCGCAGCCTGGATTAATTGCTTTGGGGGGGATGCTTTGGGGGAGGGGATATTTCTATGCGGAGCACCAAAATTTTATCGCGGACCACCAGTGGTCCCCGGCCCACTGGTTGGTGACCACTGCTCTAGAGCAGCGTTTCTCAGCTTTGGTAACTTGAAGATGTGTGGACTTCAGCTTCCCAGAATTCCTCATGCTTGGCTGGGTAATTCTGGAAGTTAAAGTCCACACATCTTCAAGCGGCCAAGATTGACAAACACAACTCCAAAGAGCCAGTTTGGTTTTCAGGTAGTCCTTGACTTAAATGGGACCACATTGCTAAGCGATGAGATTGTAAAGCATGACCGCATTGCTGTAGTGACAGCAATCCTTGCTGTCTTGGTTACCATTGTTAGTCGAATCCCACAGTCATCAGGCTTCCCACAACAACAAAAAATCCATGGGGAAGCAGGCAGGAAGTTGCAAGTCCCAGGGTGACAGGCAGGAAATTGGCCATTGCTGGTGTGAGAGGAAACAAAGAAGTGTGAGGGAGTGCACTAGAGGCACAGCAAGGATCAGGAAGAGCGCATGGGAGTTGGTGTGGGTCAGGAAAGATACACAAAGGGACAGCATGCCACAAACACAAAGAGGCTAGAGAGAGTGCAGGGGGAGACTTATTCCAGTGACTTTCCATTGCCTTTCTGGGAAACTGGCAGGGAAGGTTGCAAATAGTGATCCCATGATTGTGGGCCACAGCAACTGGTTGTAAAGGCAAATCAATTGCCAAGCTCCCAGACTGTGATCATGTGACTGTGGGAGTGCTGGACAGCCAAAATTCCAGAGACCAGTTGCAAACACCATTTGTTCAATGGGTGGTAGGCTAGAAAACAGGAGACCACGAATTGTAGGCCCACTTTAAGAAACCAAGAGAGCAGGGGTGACCTTGAGCCAGTCACTCTTCCTCAGCCCTAGGAAGGAGGCAATGGCAAAGTGGTTCTTCTCTCAGTGTCTCCTCGTTCAAGCAGCCACTCAAGCTTGTAATGCTGAATGAGTGGTATTGATGGCTAGTCCTTGGAGTCCCAGCTGTTGCAGTGGCCTTGCGGTCATATGATCACGATCCAGGTGCTCGGTGCCCAGCTTACGATTATGATGTCGAGAGGTCTTGCCCTTGCGTGGTTGCCATTTGTGATTTTCTTTTGCTGATTTCTGGCAAAGTCGGGATGCTGCAAAGGGTGACTACACGATGTCCTTGCTTAATGACTCACAGTGTCTCACTTAATGATGGCAACCAGGACTGCCAAAATTGCTCTTGCTAAGCAATGCAGCCATGTAACATTGCACTTTATAACTGCGTTGTTCAATGATGGGACTTCCAGTCCAAATGGCCACCGTTGAGCAAGGACTATCTTTATTGCCTAAAAAACTCCAGCGACTTGTCCAGGCAGTCAAAAGGGGTCAACAACGTCAAAGATACCAAAAGGAAAAAAAAAAGAAAGCATACCCTCTACATTGCAACGTTTAATTCTTTTTTTTATTTATTTGCTTTATTTGTTCAAAATAATGAGATCTTTTACTTGGATAGAATAGATCAGAAAGAAAATTAAAAAAAGCTACTATAGAAACATTTTGCTTGTGAACAAGTCCAATCTTCCTTCTCGTAAAGTGTCAAAGGCACAGCCTTAGAGGTTCTACTTGCTTATTTCGAAAACTTAATGTACAGAATTCTCAGAAATCAAAGATTTCAAAAGCGGGTTTCAGGGAAGCCTGGCTGTATTTACCTGCATCAAGTCAACAGCATCTTTTGCATCTCTTTCAAAAAAGTCTAGAGGAAAATCTCGAATGGGAGGGATTGATTTTCCATATCCTCGAGGGTCCCAGGCAACAACAGTAAAAATCTCCTTGTTCATATTCTTCAGCTGGGGGCCAAAATCAGTCTGACCACTACCTAAATCAACACACAAAAACACTGCAAGATCATCATAACCAAGAGAGGAACTTATTTTACCCACATTTAATATACGTAAAAGAAAAACTAAGTCCAAAAAAGCATGATCAAATTTACTACAGATAGGCCTCAAGTTAAGTCCACAACTGTATGTTGCTAAGTGAAACTTTTGTTGAATTTTGCCTCATTTTATGATTTTTCTTGACACCGTTGTTAAGTGAACCCTTGTATTTGTTAATTTAGCAACATGGTTGTTAAGTAAATCTGGATTCCCCATTGATTTTGCTTGTCAGAAAGTTGCAAAAGCTGACCACGTGACCTTGGGGACATTGCAACCGTCATAAATATGAACTATTTGCCAAGCATCTGAATTTCGATCATGTGGCCATGGGAATGCTGCAATGGTCGTGTCAACTCATAAAACATTTTGTATACACATTTTATAGTTGACAACAGAAAGAAGGGGTGGGGAGTTTCAAAGAGCAGGCAACAGTGTGGAATCGAAAGTACATTCCATTCATATTTTCTTCAAAGACTGATTAGATGGCTGAAGCTTCTGCCACGAAAAAATCTAATTGGAGAGCATGATTGATGACTCTTGGCTATGGAAAAGCAGGATCAAGGGTGACAGTGAATTACATATTTCAGAGTTGGCTACACCCAGATTAGTGCCAGATATAGAATGTCAACTTCAAATAAATCCTCTTAAGTTTTTGGGAGTGTGGCTCGAGGCTCATGATTTAACTAGAGTAACTGCAGGAATCCTGACAGTAAGTGTGAAAAACGGTCATGAGTCCCTTTTTTCAGTGCCGTTGTAACTTTGAATGGTCACTAAATGATCTGTTGCAAGTCAAGGACTTCCTGTATCTTTATGTCTCTTGTTTGACTATTAAGAAAGCTTAGAGATCATCCTCTTTTGCTGCACTATGATCAATTTCATTAGTGAGTTATTCTCCAACCATTGTAAAACCAACCATTTTTTCCTTGTCTTTCTCCTCACAAGCTCACTACCGCTGAATAAGTGATTATAAAACATCACTCACTCTCCAGTGGGAAACCAAGCAGTGTTCTCAGTGGTGGGATTCAACCAGTGTAACAACCAGTTAGGTGAGTGCACACAGTGTTTGAAAACCATTTTCAGTGCTAAAACTTACCTTCTGCTGCAGCAGAACAGCTGATGCGTGGCGATCTGCTGTGCTGCGCAAATCAACTGGGCTGTAAAATAGGACGGACTAGGGCAGGGGTGGGTGGACAGGGCCAACTAATCACCGGAACTACAGGTTCGCCCGAACTGCTCTGTATCGGCTGAATCCCACCCTGTATGACAGCAGCGAGAAAAATGCTTGAATCTTGAGTTGGATTCCAGAAGAACAGTCGGGGGGCTGTTTTCGTTGTTGACAATGTGTAATTTATGGTTGTAGAAGATGGTACTAGATGTGGGAAGATTTCATACACTGTGCTAAGCTCAAACTAATCAAACTCTTTGATTAAATGGTAAACAAAGTAAAAAAAAAAGGGTTGTGGTTACTGAAGTCACACAAAATTTTCTTATAAAGACAACGTGTCCCTTAAAGCAAGTTCACTTTTAGTCAAAGCAGAAACGTGTCTATGTAGTTTGAGCGTGATTTGGAATCAGAATTACTGGAATTTGGATGTGTAAAGAGTTGCTGGGAGGCTTATAGGTTGCCTGTTCCTGAAGTAGAGGATTTTTAGTTCTTTTGCTATCATTTCCCCAAAAGTTTCCTCCAGTGTTGGAATTTTGTGATCTCCAGCTAGTTCAGTGGAATTGCAGTCAAGCAGAGTTTGAAAAAGGCTGATCCTGGATCAAACATAACTAACAAGTATTTCTACTTTGACAATTAAGACTGAGATTTAAGAAATAACTCCAAGGTCAGTCAAGGCAGGTAGAGTTTTCCTTATCGTTTTACTTGACCTCATTTAGGAAACAATAATCAAAAATCCTTGGAGATCTCTTGCTATCATCCAGAAGTAAACCAATAAATTTTATCTCAGCTTCAGACTATTTGGATAGTTAGGTCAATATACCGTTTCCCCAAAAATACGACCTACCCTGAAAGTAAGTTCTAACTTTATTTTTTCACCTGCGCCCAATATAAGCCCTACCTCCCAAAATAAGCCCTAATTAAGATCCCACCCACTTCAGAGTGCATGGGTAAAAATTAAGCTAGGGTGGGGATGGGGGAGCAGAGCTGTCCTATTACTTACTTTTGGACAGTTGTAGCCAGGCGTCGCATACCCCAACACCTGCCTTGCTGGCCCATTTCTTCTTCAGCTGGCAAGGCTGGTAAGGCTTTCCTGAAGGCCTCTGTAGTTGATAACAAAGCTCCGGATCGATTCAGAACTGTAATCGGCTGCAGAGGCCTTCAAGAAAGCCTTGCTGGCTGCAGAAGAAGTTCCTGAAGGCCTCTGACAGCGAAAAGGAGGCTGGGGGCGATGCCCACAAGTGAGGCTAGACAGTGGATGACATTCCCCCAAAATAAGACCTACTGACTTTTTTGGTAGCAAAAAAATATAAGACAGGGTCTTATTTTGGGAGAAACATGGTTAGTTAGATAATTAGTCTGGTCTAAAACAGAGGTCGCCAACCAGTAGGCCATGGCCACTGGTGGTCCGCGAGAAAATTTTGGTGGTCTGTAGAGAAATGCCACCCCAAAACACCCCCCCAAAGCAATTAATCCAGGCTGCGGGGGAACACAAGGCTGTGCCGTCCACATGGCCCAGGAACACAAGGCTTGCGTGGCTTGAATTAGGAACAACATGAGGTAGTGAGGGGAGGGGGGAAAGGGGGGAGGGGGGAACTTGCCTGGCCACCGGGTTGCTTCTTTCCGCTTCTTTCATCTTCTGCTTTTCGCTGCACGCAAGGAAAGCAGCAAAAGTCTTTCTTTCTCTCCCCCAAACTCTACCAGAAATGAGTCTTTGGGACCCTGCAAGGCATCCTGCTCCAAGTGGCTTCAAAGACTCATTTCTGGCGGAGTTTGGGGGAAGAGAAAGAAAGGCTTCTGCTGATTTCTTTGCGTGCAGCCTGAGAACGGAAATCAAAGCAGGCTAGGAATGGGGCTGCCTTGGAGGGGGTGGGGGTGGAGGGTATGAGGGAGAGAGTGAAAGAAAATCACCATCCCTCAGGTTAGATCGATCTCCCTTCCTCCAAGAATGGAGATCAAAGCAGGCTAGGAATGGGGCTGCCTTGGAGGGGGTGTGTGTGTGAGGGATTTGTATGTGTGTGTGTATGAGAGAGTGATCCATCACTGCTGGGGAATTAAATTCACGGGGCGGGGGGGGGGTTTGCATGTTTTTGTGTCTTTTCTTTCCAGCCTCTAGGGGGGGGGGGGGGTGGAAGGAAGAGAGAGAGAGAGATAGGAGGGAACGATCCATGGCTGCTGGGGAATTAAATTCACGGAGGGGGGAATTTGCATGGCTTGACTGCTACAGTGACCTATATCAGGAAAATGTTAGATAGTACTGTGCATTCAAATGTTTGTCTTGTAACGACTGGAATGAAAATGGAGTGGAAATGGGTACTTTGCGCTTTCTGACAAACTTTCCTAAGTGTGAAAGCATAGGGGAAAAAAACACTAGTTACACATTACTCTTAAAAGACAAAAAACACCAGGACTTGGGATCCCGCCAAATCCAAAGGACGAGAGAAGCCCTTCCTTTCCCTTTGCTCTGCCCCACAGTTCCCGTTTATGTTTAACATAAAAATAAATTTTTTTATATTAAATATCTTTTTAAAAAAAAAAATCGTATTACTGGGCCTCAGGATTTAAAAGTATGAGTTTGGTAGCCCCTAAGGTCCAAAAGGTTGGCGACCCCTGGTCTAAAAGCAATTATTTTAGAGTCATGCATTATTACAAAGATCTTCTGACAAAGGTATCAATATAAATATAAATATTTTTGCATATGTTATCCATTCCAAATCAGCAGCATAGTACAAGTGTTAGATCCGTACCTAGCATGCCAGGGAAGAGGAGGACAGCATGATTCCCATTCCCAGTCTGTTGGTAGTGCAGGTGGATGCCATTCACTTCTACTTTCGCTGAGGTTATGGCAGTGCTGGAAGAAATAGCTTCAATTGTTCAATTTGTTCATATTTTATCTTCCTTCCCAACAGCATACATAGTTCTCCCCTCTACTCTTAGTATCTCCACAATAAAGCACCATACACAGGTGAAACTCGAAAAATTAGAATATCCTGCAAAAGTTCATTTATTTCAGTAATGCAACTTAAAAGGTGAAACTAATATATGAGATAGACTCAGCACATGCAAAGCAAGATAGTTCAAGCTGTGATTTGTCATAATTGTGATGATGATGGCTTACAGCACATGAAAACCCCAAATCCACAATCTCAGATAATTAGAATATTACATTCAATCAATAAAACAAGGATTGTACAGAGAACAATATCAGACCTCTGAAAAGTATAAGCATGCATATGTACTCAGTACTTGGTTTGGGGCCCTTTTGCAGCAATTACTGCCTCAATGCGGCGTGGCATGGAAGCTATCAGCCTGTGGCACTGCTGAGGTGTTATGGAAGACCAGGATGCTTCAATAGCGGCCTTCAGCTCTTCTGCATTGTTCGGTCTCAGGTCTCTCATCTTTCTCTTGGCAATGCCCCATAGATTCTCTATGGGGTTCAGGTCAGGCGAGTTTGCTGGCCAATCAAGCACAGCGATCCCACAGCCACTGAACCAGGTTTTGGTGCTTTTGGCAGTGTGGGCAGGTGCCAAGTCCTGCTGCAAAATGGAGTCAGCATCCCCATAAAGCTCATCTGCAGAAGGAAGCATGAAGTGCTTTAAAATCTCCTGGTAGACGGCTGCATTGTCCCTGGACTTAATGAAGCACAGTGGACCAACACCAGCAAATGACATTGCTCCCCAAATCAACACAGACTGTGGAAACTTCACACTGGACTTTAAGCATCTTGGTTTCCAAATGAGATGCAAAACTTGCTCTCATCAGAAAAGAGGACTTTGGACCACTGAGCAACAGACCAATTTTTTTTTCTTTAGCCCAGGTAAGACCCTTCTGATGTTTGTTATTCAGGAGTGACAAGAGGAATACGACATTTGAAGCTCATGTCCAGGATCCGTCTGTGAGTGGTGACTCTTGATGCACTGACTCCAGCCTCAGTCCACTCCTTGTGAAAGTCCCCAACACTTTTGAATGGCCTTTTCCTGACAATCCTCTCCAGGCTGCGGTCATCCCTGCTGCTTGTGCACCTTTTTCTCCCATACTTTTCCCTTCCACATAACTTTCTATTAATGTGCTTTGATACAGCACTTTGGGAACATCCAGCTTCTTTAGCAATTACCTTTTGAGGCTTTCCCTCTTTATGGAGGGTGTCAATGATGGTTTTCTGCACAACTGTCAGGTCAGCGGTCTTTCCCATGACTGTGATTCCTACTGAACCAGACTGAGAGACCATTTAAAGGCTCAGGAACCCTTTGCAGGTGTTATGGCTTAATTAGCTGATTAGAGTGGGATGCTTTGAGCCTAGAATATTGAACCTTTTCACAATATTCTATTTTTCTGAGATTGTGGATTTGGGGTTTTCATGAGCTGTAAGCCATAATCATCTCAATTATGACAAATCACGGCTTGAACTATCTTGCTTTGCATGTAATGAGTCTATCTCATATATTAGGCTCACCTTTTAAGTTGCATTACTGAAATAAATGAACTTTTGCACAATATTCTAATTTTTCGAGTTTCACCTGTATAGTATGGCTCTTCTCCCTCTTAATGAGACTCACAATCATCTAGTGCAGTGCTGTCAAACTTGCGCTCTACGGACCGGATGTGTCACACGCTGGCCACGCCCATGCCTGGTTTAGCAAAGGGGCAAAAGTGGCGATACATCAGTGTCATCACGTGACGTATCACCACTTTTTCCCCTTCGCTAACCTGCGAGTTTGACACCCGACTTAAAAGTGTTCCCACTGAAATGAATGGAACATATGCAAATTAAACCTCATCAAGATTTAATTTCAGACCCAGACCTGCAAATTAGCATAAAATGAAACTTCATTTATTTAATTTCTATCAATAATTGCTCAATGTAACAGAGGAGGAGGTAAGCTCTAAGGAAACAAAAGGTTCCTTAGTCCAGGGAAGAGGGGACAGAGAGTAATTGTGCCTTCAGCACACTCGGAGAATTGTTTTGGCAAGATTTCATGGTTCTCTTATATAGAGTGTCCTCTACTTAGGACCAAAAATGGACCCCAAATTTCCATTGTTAAGTGAGACATTTGTGAAGTGAATTTTGCCGTTTTACGACCTTTCTTGCCACAGTTGTTCAGTGAATCACTGCAGCTGATAAGTTAGTAACATGGTTGTTAAGTGAATCTGGCTTGTCAGAAGGTCTCAAAAAGGGATCACATGACCCCTGGATGGGACACAGCAATGCTCATAAGTATGAACCAGTTGCCAAGCATCCGAATTTTGATCACATGATCATGGGGAATGCTGCAGTTTGCAACTATTAAAAATGATTACAAGTCACATTTTTCAATTCCGTTGTAACTTTGAACAGCCACTAAACAAACTGCTGTAAGTTGAGGACAACCTGTACTGCCCTACAGGCAAGAAAGTTCATTCTAGAGATCTGTCTAAGTGGTATTCAGGTCCTGAGTTACTAGCTCAAAACCCTCAAGGCCAGAGAGCAGAGACCAAAGATGACTCTGTTTGCTGTTTGAGGAGAATATACTCCGTTTGAGGAGAGAATATTCTCCCATTTAATTCATTGTTGACTCAATTTTAGAAGGATTGCCTCCATCAAACAAAAGGAATCAGATTTCTAGGAGCAGTGAAGAATTTAAATTACAAATTCTAGTCGAGCACAACACTTAAGCCAGTGCAAGGAAAACCTAACAGCAGCATTTGTTTGGCTACCGTAGATTGGGGGTGGTTGGTTAGAATAGAATTCTTTATTGGCCAAGTGTGATTGGACACACAAGGAATTCGTCTTGGTGCAAATACTCTCAGTATACATTAAAGAAAAGATACATTCATCAAGAGTCAAAACACTTAATGATAGTCGTAGGGTACAATAAGCAATCAAATCATACTAGGAAACAAGTCAATATAAATTGTAAGGAAACAAGCGACAAGTTACAGTCCTAGTCACAAGTGGGAGTGGATGGGTGATAAGGAGTGATGAGAAGATTAACAGTAATAGTAGTGCAGACTGTAAATAGTTAAACAGTGTTGAGGGAATTATTTGTTTAGCAGAGTGATGGCTTTGGGGGGGAAAACTTCTTGTGTCTAGTTGTTCTGGTGTGCGATGCTCTGTAGCGTCGTTTTGAGGGAAGGAGTTGAAACAATTATTTACACAGCCCTCTTGTTGACTCATGCAGTATACAGTTCCTGGATGGAAGGCAGGTTGGTAGTAATTGTTTTTTTCTGCAGTCCTAATTATCCTCTGAAGTCCGTGTCTGTCCTGTTGGTTGTAGTGGGTTGTGTAAAGCGGAATCCTTTTCTTAGCTTGATATATTGGATTAATAACGTACACAGGTTAAGAACGTTGTGGCAACTAGTTGTGCCTTACAGAGGTCTCCTTGCACTGCCAGAAGGGCCTGAGGAGGTGACTTTTGTGATTCCCCCTTTCCCCTACAACTCCTACAGGCAAGTAGCATATCCACAGCAGATCTGACCTGCAGTATAAGAGACAAACTAATTTGTGCATGGCTACACTGTGGACTAAAAGTATCGTACTATTTCGTTAGAATTTTGCGATACAATAAGACATTTCTGAAAAGCAGCCTGGTTTAATCTGGTATGGGAAGTACCAAAAATGTTGTAAAAGGAGGCCTATTTTCATTACAAACGATTTTGCAGTCTGCTTGCAAAGAAATCTTTATAGAACTTGCTTCCAGGTAAGTATGCAATGGTGCATAGTCCAAAGTATTTAAAAAAAAAAACACCTTTCAGCTTTTTTAGTATAATAAATAGGACAAAAGTAGGATGGAAGGCTGTCGTGTTGTTGTCGTTTTAAATTTTATTAACTCGTTCCGAATCTTATCCTCCCAGACAGCTTTTGCCTAAAATATAGAGTGGGGGATAGATGTGCAATTGTTCTTCCCCCAGCGAACAATTCCTGCAGCCTTTGCGGGTGCTTTCACCACTTACCAATATATCATTTTTGCTCTTAAAAGGCGAGTTTTGCGGAGCCTCCGTTAAAAGGAAAGGATCTCTAGTATGGGTCATTTTAAGGCTTTTAACCAAATCTGATCTAAAATCGGATTCATACGATCAGACTTCGTTCCCTTCGTGAAAAGCCTGCGCGGGGTCACAAGCAGTTACGTCCTAAAAGACACACGGTGCACAAGTTAACACCCGCACCCCAACCCAAAAGCAAGGCCAACAAGCGCTTCGGTCGCACCTCACACCCACTCCGGCTTTTGCAATCAAGCCCTGTTTTGCTAACCACGCACGCGCATTGCGGTTTCGATTCCCCCCCCCCCCCGGGTACGAGGCCCGCGGCGGTTTCCTCACATCTCCGTCCCGTGGGCGTTTTACCTATAGGCAGCCATCGATCTCGGGACCGTTGCCAGCGTGGCAGAGCGGGAGAGGTGGGAAAAGAGGTGCCGCAGCCGCCAAAACGCTGCCCCGGCGGGCCGAGCCATTTTCCTTTCCTTCCCGCAAGTTTTGTCTTGGCGGCTCCGCCTTCGTTGCCGCTCTATCGGCTGTCAGGAAAAGTGCGGTTGCCAGAGGGCGGAATCACAGTTAGGCTTTTCCCTCAAAGCAGGGAAGCTCACCCACCAATGGCTGCAATCGTTGGCTTCAATTTTGGAGGGAAAAGAAAAAGGGGAGGGGGGAACCCGCGTTTCTTCTTTTCGGTCCTTTTTCTGAATCCAGGGCATTGAGCCATGGTGGCGCAGTGGTTAGAAATGCAGCATTGCTGGCTCACTCTGCCCACAGCCTGGAGTTTGATGATCCTGAGGGGGCTCAAGGTTGACTCAGTCTTCCATCTTTCCCGGGTTGGTAAAATGAGGACCCAGATTGTTGGGGGGCAGTAGGCTGATTCAGTAAACCCCTTAGACCAGGGGTTCCCAACCTGGGGTGCGAGACAATATTCCAGGGGGTGCGAGAAAAGTCCAGGTAAATAATAGGATGTTGGCTATATGTTGGCATCTTTATTTATTATGCAATGGATTAATTTTGTTTTCATTTTAGAGTTAAGTATCGTTATTTAGTGGCCGTCACATACATAGCTGAAAAGATTCAATCCTACCATATATTTAAAACGTTCAGTAGTTCCTAAAGTCTAAATTTCAGGGGGTGCGAGGTTCGAGTGAAATTTCTTTAGGGGTGTGGGGCGAAAAAAAGGCTGGGAACCACTGCCTTAGACCCATACATACCTATTTCAATCAACACCTAATAAGAGACTCCTTGATTACAATTTGAAAAAAAAAAAATCAAAGGTATAAAACACTATACAGAAATCCCACGATGGCTGTCAACTATGGAAGCCATAATACATCCAAATAGATTAGACCTACGGAAAATGGTAAGCTTTGAAGAACTATTCGATAGTCAAGGGAAATTAAAATCAAACCAAGAACTGAAGGAAAATGGAATTATAATCAATTGGTGGCCATATTTGCAAATTCAAAATAAATATAAAAAAGACTCGAAAGATTTTGGATTTGACAAAGGGCAGAACTAGATAAAATATTAATGGGACCAGAACAAAAACTTATAACTAAAATAAATATTAGATTTTAAAATGGAAGAGGAAATAGTCAAAAGTACGATTGCATGGGCACAGAATTTTGGATACACTATAGAATTAGAGGAATGGGAAAAAATATGGAATATAAATTAGTGGTACCTGCAGCATACAAAGAAAACATATATAAAATGTTTTATAGATGGTATTTAGCCCCAACAAGATTGGCAAAAATCTACTCCAATATGAGTCCTAAATGTTGGAAGTGCAAAAAAGTTGATGGTACATTTTATCATGTGGTGGATGTGCCCCGAGGCCAGGACATACTGGATTCAAATTAAAAATTGGTTAAAAGAGATCACTGGCTATCAGATTGAGCTCAGACCGGAATCCTTCCTATTAGGAATTCTTTAAGAAAGACTACCAAAAGAAGTAAAATACCTAGTGTTACATATAGCAGCCACCAGAATAGCCTTTGCACAGGTATGGAAAACACCAAATACCCCCAATGAAGAACTAATAATACACAAAGTAACAGAAAGTGCTGAGATGAATATGCTAACAATGAAATTGAAAGAAAAAGACAACTCTGAATTCTTTACAATTTGGAATAAATGGTATAAATGGCTAACAAACAGAACCAAGAGGTAAGACAAAAATGTTAATTGAAACAACCCTTAAGAAAGTAAAATAAAATTTTGTAAACTATATAAAGATATAAGGGTAGTAATTATAGCTAAAGATATTATTTAATAGTAGATAAACGCAATATAATGTATTATGATATTTAAATCAAAATCTTGTATAGATGCCAAGAAAGTTGTTGATACCAGGATGTTTTATGATAAACATAAAAAAGAAAAATTAATAAAAATATATTAAAAAAAAACCTTAAACCCATAAAGTGGTGTGTTAGACATTGCTATTACTATTCAGTAACAAAGTGGGGACATAAGCAAAGAAAATAGTGTGGGAAGCCCCGCACCCCCAACTTAACTATGAAATATTTTGGGGAATATTAAAAAGGCAGGATAGAATATTTTCTCTAAAAGAGGAATGAAAGAGGGGGAAAAAAACCCTCAAGGGAGGCAAAAACCAGCCCCAATTTCCCTGCCCCAAGCAGAAAATGAGGCCAGCTTTTAGAAATGCAGATTTGGTAATCCATTCAGAAAGACTGGGTCAATATAGAAACTCAGATAAGCAACAAGCCAAAGGTTGACAAATTAACTCAAACACCTATTGCATTTGCCCTTTTGCCTATAGAGCCAACCGTGACCCCTATATGACCTCATACTAATCCATAAGATGGATCACCCACTCTAAACTCCCATTTTGTCAGCTGTCCCAGAATCACGTGGTCTGTGGGGCTGCCACAGAGAGGAAGGGGTCAAGCTATTTTCTAAAGCACCTGTAATCTGAACAAGGAATAATGGATGGAAACTGAACAAGGGGAGATTTAACCTGGAAATAAGGAGAAACTTTCTGACAGTGAAAATAATCAACTAACGGAACAGCATGCCTTCAGAAGTTGTGGGAGCATCATCACTTGAGACTTTCAAGAAGAGATTGGATTGCCATTTGTCAGAAATGGCTTGGTCTAGATGACCTACAAGGTCCCTTCCAACTCCGATTATCTGTTATCTGTTATGCTTCATCAATGAAAGGAATTTTTCTTTCCAATCAGCCTCCAGCCTCCATTTTATTTCCAGTTCGTTTTATTTTCCTGGCTTGGAACGACCTGGATTTTTCTTCCAACAATTGTTTGCTGGGTTTAGTAAAGTTTGTTGGGTTTATTAAACAAATTTATAAGGCCACACAACACTCACACACAGGATACTCTTGGCAGCTTAAAACTGAAAAACTCCACAAAATACAGGGAGCCCTCAACTTACAACCACAATGGAGCCCAACTGTTTAAGTGAAACATTTGTTAACTGAGCTTTGCCCATTTTACGACTTCTTGCCAGTCATTAAGTGAATAGTTGATAAGCTAGTAACCTAGTGATTTAAGTGAACCTGGCTTCTCCATTGACTTTGCTTGTCAGAAGGTTGCAAAAGATGATTATGTGGCCTTGGGACACAGCAAGGGTCATAAGTATGATCCCATTGCCAAGCAGCTGAATTTTGATCATGTGGATGCTGCAACGATTGTTAATGCTGATTTATTTATTTCTTTAGGAGATTTATATTGCAGCCTATTCGCACATGGCAACTCAAGTACTCTCTGAGGTTGCTTGTTTTCTTGCAAAAGTTTTATTTCCCTAACTAGGTAACATCATCAGTGCTACCGTAGTAAGGAGTGCTGTTTGCTGTCAGTTTATATTCTGGAAATCCTTTGCCTGTCTGTGTGCGTGGGTGAAGGAGGTGACCCTACATTGTTCATTCTTGCTAAGATGGTTGCTGAAGCTGCTGATCAGCCCTTGTCAAACTGTTATACTGCTAGTTTGTTAAGATTCATAGTTTACTCATAGCAGTAGCTTGTTTTACATCAGAGGTCTCCAAACGTGGCTAGTTTAAGACTTGTAGACTTCAACTCCCAGAATTCTTCAGCCAGCAAAGAGTTCGAAGTCCACAAGTCTTAAACTTGCCAGGTTTGGAGACCTCTGTTTTACATAATGAAGGAGAACAATAATCCAGTTTTATTTTTGAGAAGAGATTCTTGTAGATTAGGAAAGCAGCCTTATGTCCATTTTCTCTATTTAAAAAATTAAAATTGTACAAATTCATTCAAAATTTGACATATTATAAAACAGGGAGATATATGCATGAAATAGGGGAAAATGTTCCATTTTATACCTATAAAAAAAAAGCCCAGAGCCCTTCAGAAGTTCTAATGAGCCATTTCAGGCCAGTTATGGTTTGAGAGAAGCCAGGCCCAGAATACTTTGTCTTGCATTTAGATGAAACAAATCCAGACAGGCAAACGGGGCTAAGTTAGTGGGTATTACTTCCCATTTCCATGATCAATTCCCAGAGTGGAACATCTCAGAGGCTAGCACCACCAGTGCTTTAATTTCCCTCCCCCATCCTTCTCCTCAGCCACCACCATTCCTGCTAAAGGCCCGGCGTGGTATATACCAAAATCTTGTCCAGCTGCTCTGCAGCCTTCCCTCTCTCCCACTGCTCAGCCACTGCTGCTGCTCTCTCTTAGCTGTGGGAGAACCATGTTGTGGTCCGTGTCCAGAACAAAACAGCCATTTTGTTCTGTGCACAGAGCAAAACACTCAAAATGTTTTGTCTGTCTCTGCTGTAAAGCATTGTTATGTTTGTAGCGTTTTCTTTTCTTTTCTTTAGGGAATGCTATGAAAACGTCCCTTGAGATTGACCATCGTTTGCTCTTTTATCTCCCATTCCTTACTCTGCTTGTGTAGAGTAGCATTTGGCCTGACCAACAACTTCTTGTGGCAATACAAAAATGTCCTCTTGGAAAAAATGTCCAACCCAGCCAAAGTCTTCCAGCTGCTTGTTTGACTTCTTATCTGTTATTTCTATCAGAATCCTGGCTTATTTTGATAAAACTATTGAGGAGATCTCTCCGACCGCAAGCAAAAAGGGCTCTGGCCAGCTTCCCCACCGTTGCCCCTTTGCTGCCTTCCTTCATCAGCCATCTCTGGAACATCTGGTAAACCTTTTCTTTGAGCCCATCCCGTTCATAATCGTGGTCAATTTCGTCCAGCTCCGGGTCACTAAAGCCCAGTTTACGAGCGCAGTGTTTCCATTTCTTGGCCAAGTTGTCTCTCACAAGGTTTAGGTGAACATCTGAAACTATAGCAGTGCTCTCTGGTGGTAGAAAAAAAGAAAAAAAATACTTATATAACTCTTTCCAGAAAGATGTTCTTTGAGGCCATCGGTGCTACAGGTAGTCCTTGACTTACAGCCATTCGTTTAGCAAACATTTGGAGTTACAGCAGCACTGAAAAAGTGACCTTTGCCTGGTCATCGTACTTATAACCTGTTCTGAACAAGGCTTCTTGAGACTGTAATTAATCACACACTTAGTCCAAACAGCTCTCTTTTTATTTCAACACTGGGAATTATGTTCATTCCCATAATGAGTCCCAGTCTCTCTAGATAAGCACCTACCTTTTATCTCCTTTGAATTGCTGCCAACAACTAAAGTGCCAAATTAACTCTAAAAAGCCAAACAGAATACAAAGCCCACACAGAGCTCAATCATTGCAACATCCCTACAATCACTTGAAAACTGGCATGTATTGGTTGCTGGTTGCAGCATCCTGAGGTCTTGTGACGACCATGTGTGACCTTCCCAGCCAGTTTCCAACAAGCAAAATCCATGGAAGAAGCCAGATTTGCTTAACGTTCACATGAGTTTTGCCATGATATTTGTTACGCGATTCATCACAGCTGTTAAGTGAACCATGTGGTCCTTCATTTAACAACCATGGCAAAAAAGGTCATAAAATTGGGTGCGACTCAGTTAATAACTGCCTTGCTTAGCAACAGAAATTCTGGCCCTAATTGTGGTTGTAAGATGAGGACTACCTGTGTTGAAATCCCTTGATGGGTAAAACAATGAAAGAGCAGGCTATTGATGGCTAGCAAGATGTCTGTTGCTATCGTTTGGTTTTTTTTCCAGAGACAGAATGGAAGACATTTCCATCCTTGGTGAGAAATTTGTTGTACATGTACAATAAAAGAACTGCCTCCTCTATTTCCACACAAGAAAGAAATCCAAGTCAGACAAGAATTCCCTTCATGTGGAGGTACTCTCTGAAACATGGATCAGAAACTGCACGAAGACACTTCACATAATGTTTTAAATAAGACGATTGGCAAGATGTGTGGCATGCAAACACACTGTCATGATTCTTTGGTGTGATGAAGGATACCTTCCCGTGCTTTGTGAAGCTGAAAATGGTGTTTCTGAACCTTTTTTCTGGTGATAGTTTTTGGTATGGTTTACTAAATTTTTGGCCACCAGATCGGGGCTGCAAAATTTCAGGTGACTGTAGATTAGAAAAGGAAGGCCAAATCTTCTGTATCTCTTTACTGTCATCTCTGGTTATTGCAGGCCAGAGAGGGTAGCTCTACTAAATTTGAATCATGGCCTCCCTGCAAGGAATACAGGATGCCTTATACAGGATAATCTCTTTAACCATTCCATCCAATAACAAAGAAGGAGTTTGTTTTCATGACTGACAGTTTTTGAGCCATTCACATCTATTCCAACACTTCCTCTGTTTTACTATATTAAAGCTATACATTGCTTGCCTTGGAATAACCTCATTTAACTGATTTTCTCCAACGTATGTATTAATAAAACACCGGACATGAACTCTCTGTAAATACGATCGGCAAAACTGAAATATCAATGAAGAGTGATTCTCCCATTAAGGAAGAAAAAAGTTTAGATTTCTACTTACCAAATATTTTCTGGTATTCCACTGGGCAGGAATCAGCAGTTGCTGGAGGGCTGTTTCCTCGAATATCTTGATTTTTAATTTCTAAATAGTTGTAGGAGCCTATTTGAATTCCAGTACTATTATATATGTTGTAGTGTGCAGGTTCTTCTGAACATAAGGAAATATATTTTAGATTTTAAAAAGACATAGAGACAAAAACATAAAAAATAAATACTAAACTGTATGTTAACAGATATCTGAAATTTAGAACAGTGTTTTTGCATAAAATGACAATAGATAATTTCTTCCTCTGAACATCAAGGACAGATTAGAAAAACCATCTTTACCAGAGTTGATTAATATAGTCAATATGCCAAGTTTGCCAACATGACACAGCTTATTTAAAATCACAGCTTATTTGAAAGTGTTGTTACAATCCTCATGTCTTCAAAGGACGTATCAATCAACCACCTACTTGAATAATATATATTTTTTTAAAAGCCTTTGAGGCATCCATACCCCTCACGCCAGTTCATTCCAGGCTAGGCAAAGTTCTGCATAGCAGAAAAGGCATAAATTGTAGTTAGCCAAAGAAATTAAAAGCATGAGATAAGAAATATATATATAACCAAATCTAATTTATAACACCATTCATTATACCTCTTTATCCTTTCTGTTCTCATTTTATCACATCCATGCAGCCCTTCATGCACTGTTTTTTGTTCTTGAAACTTCTCACCTCTCTTTTCTCACAGTCCCATTAATTCTATCCACCCCCTTCTAGTTTTGTTATTCTTCATCCAGGTGTTTCTCCTTAATTCTCTTATAGGAAGTCAGCCGGCAAGCTTCCTGCTCCTGGCCAGCCTCAAGAAAGATAGCCTCTCTAGCCTTGAGGAAGACTGCCCTTGCTAGCTTTCTAGCTATACCTTACATTGGCTGGGGTTGCCTGTTAGCAGCTGCAGGGAAAGGGAAGGGACCCTGGGCATGATGGGGCAAGAAGAAGGCCTAAGCCTCTCGGGAGTGGTGTGGGGAATGGAAGAGGCTCACACATTAGCTGGCTGAGGCTTCCCAGACCATAGAAGAGGGGTGGGGAAGGAGCAGTTCCGGGGTTCCAGTAGTCTTAAGGACAGGTATGCTGCCAATCACCTGAATTCTGATCACATAACTCTGGGAGTGCTGCAATGCTCAGAACTTTAGGCAGGGTTCTCAAGTCTGTTCTGCACCATTGTAATTTCAAACTTTATTGAACGAACGGCTGTAAATTGAGGACTGTCTTGATAATGCTCTAATAAAGGAGGCATTCCATATATGGGGTGCAGTGCTTCAGATGATGTCTAGATGGCAACATAGAGACAGAAAAAAGTCTAAACATTTCACTGCCACCTAGCTGTCATGGGGCGTTTTGCAGCCCAGACATGGTATGTGCACGTTAAAAGAAGTCATCGTTTCACTTCTTTGTTTTACCTGAAGGTATTCTGCCCATATGTGCAAAGTTGAATTTTCTACAGGGAATCGACTCCACAGGACCTAAATAATTGTACAGATTGTTTCAGAATTAGGTCAATGTCACTGTTCTTGACCTCTATAACTTTTAAGAGTATAAAATACAATTGATTCTATAATTACTCAAATGGAAATCTAAGTGATGGTAATGGTACTCTGAGCTTTAGTAGGCTGATTAAAAAAAAATGACCAATGGGGCAATCTAGTGATATGGTGGTACATACACAAGATTCACTGTTATAGAATCCTGTTTCCAACTCTCAGCTTGTAAAAATCCTCCAGTTTGGCCATTTGTGGCATGTAAACTTTATTTCCATGTGTTTAAAGAGAAAATCTTGACCAAACATAGTTCATTTTTAAAACAAAATATTAGTGAAATTTTTAAATCACTTAAGATAGCCAGACCACAGGCCCTTCTTACTAGGAACTTGAATCTTGAATTTCAGTATATTTTCATCTACAGTCTTCAAATTCGGACTAAGAATTTTTATTCTTCGTCAAGTCAGATGCAGCCATGTGTCTTGTATACAGGTAGTCCTCGACTTAGGACCACAATTGAGCCCAACATTTCTGTTGCTAACCGAGACAGTTAAGTGAGTTTTGCCCCATTTTATGACCTTTCTTGCCATAGTCATTAAGTAAATCACTGCAGTTGTCCAGTTAGTAACATGGTTGTTAAGTGAATCTGGCTTCCCCATTGACTTTTCTTGTCAGGTCACAAAAGAGGATCACATGACTCTGGGACACTGCAACCGTCCTAAATATGAAACTTCTGAATTTTGATCACATGACCACAGCAGTGTGAAAAAACAGTCATAAGCTGCTTTGTTAATGGGTATTTATAACTTTGAACAGTCACTTTAAAAAGTAATAGTAAGTCAATGAAGGAGGATTACCTATGTGCAGTGTTGGGCTGCTGCAGGTTCGGATTGGTTCTAGCAAACCCTCACAAACAGTTGGCCCTGGCCACCTGCCCCCCACCCTATCCTGTCTTAATTTCCTTCTTTTGCAGCTCAGCTGATTCGCGGGGCGAAGTGAATTACCACGCCTCAGCTGTTTTACTTACCGGGGAAGGCTAGAAGGCGAGCGGGAGAGGTTCAAATTGGTGTTTATTGAACGCCGCGCACGCGTGCGAAGAGCATGCTCACAGAACCGGTTGTTAAACTGGTTGCAGCCCACTCGTGCCTCTATGTTGTACTATAATACTTCAGCTCATATGGACGGGCATTAGGTTACCCAAAGCTGTATCACAGTGCTACAACAGAACTCGCGAAGATTTTCATTCAGGCCAGTTATTCTTACAATTTAAATGACTGTAACAACCTCAGAGGCTAAGACGAAGTAGTTAAAGCTGGATAACTTTCTTATTGTGGGTTGCAACCGGACTCTGCTTTTCTTTCTTTTTCTTTCTTTCCTGGGTAATGGATGCTGTTAGAATGGACATGACCACCATGATGCAAAGAGAAAGAAGCAACCCTTCAGACTCCCATATTATCTCACTTACCAGTTTCTGTGCTTAAGCTTTGAGGATGATATGGATTGTATGGCTTGGCCTGACTGTTTATGCCAGATTCTGGAACTGGTACTTTAGTGAAATTAAAGTTTGTGGCTGAGGGTGCTGAGGGAGTTGCATAGGGATCTTCTGCACTTAGCCACCTGCTGGGATGTAGAGTTCCTGCCGCCAGAAAGCCATTTGGATCTACTGCTCCTGATGGTGTTGAGTACCATGGGTGACTTGAATGAGCTGTACTGGTATTGTTGTGACTCACACTTGCTTGGAGGTTTTGAGCTCTCTGGTAAAATTCTGGTGTCTGAGGTATGGCTGCCGTTTTGGCAAATGGGTCATAGGAAACCTTTCTCTTTCTCCTCTCTTCTTCTTGCATTTCAGCACTATATGCAGCAGAAGGACTTTCTGGCTTATCCATCCGGCTGCCAAATAGATGGTAATTTAGTTCATCCTGTAATTTTTGTTGCAAGTTTGCCGGGGGATCAGAGGTATTTTCACAGCTTTCTACAGGCTCATTTTCTGGATATGGCGCAAACATGTTTTCATCTATAGTGTTATTAGCCGTGAAATTTTGAGAACTGTGTAAAGAACCAGGTTGATCTGCGGGATAGATTAGAAATTTGATTTTATTATCAAAGGTTTCATGGAAAAATTTCCAGTCACTTTGTGGGATATCTTATTGATCAACCCCACTGAATGCAAGATTAAATCCAGTACATCCCCACCTTGCTCAACCTGGTATCCTTCAGAACAGTGGCCCCCAACCTTTTTTGTGCCACGGCCCGGTACCGGCATCACAAAATGATCCACAGCCCGGTACCGGCATCAGCACGCATGGCAAGGCGAGCCGAGCGACCGGCCAGCCAGCCGTCCCCTGCTTCTCCCCGCCACCTTCAACTCCTCCTTTGTACCTTTGTCAATGGGCTTCGGGACGGTCGCTCGGCTCGCCTTGCCTTGGGTGCTGAAAGAATCCTCGCGCCTTAGTTTTGTTTGAAGCCGCCCCCCCTTCGATGAAACTAAAGTGCGAGGATTCCTTCAGGACCCAAACGCCGCCTTCCAACCGGAAAAGCTCACCGGAAGCACTTTCTCATCAAAACAAGATGGTGGCGCCCAGCAAACCCGTGGCCCGGTAGAAAATGTTCCACGGACCGGTACCGGTCCGGGGCCCGGTGGTTGGGGACCCCTGCTTCAGAACACTGGGATTACAACTCCCAATATTCTGTGCCATTAAGTCCTTCCCCACATTTTGGTATATGTCCCACTGAATGTGGTAAGTCTTACGAGTAAACAGAAATTATATAATCTCTTTAAAACCGCCCCTGCTTCATGGTTCTCCTAATAGTTCATTCAACCTGGCTCAGAGATGTTCAGCAACATCTGCTATTTTGATGGGTTCTAATTTATCTTAACCTAGATCTCTTTTATTATGGAAGAACTCTATTCTCCTCTATAGCTTTTGTCATTAGGACAACTCAATTACATTTTGCAGTTAAATGTTTCCTAGCATGGTTGTACGTGCCTGATCCCTTATGTGCCAGCTCATCAAGAAGGATTGGAAGATGGTCCTTTCCAAGGCAGCACCTCTAAAGCCAATAATTATGGGGCAAGCAGAAAGAGGACATTTTCAATTAAAATGCCCCAATCTTCAAATTCCTTCCATTTTAATTTTTCCTTACAGAATTGGTATGTAACCCTTTCCAGAAATTTTGCTACTGTGATTTCTAAACAAGGCTCAACGCACACACACACCCCCACGCCCCATTTTGACCAACAGGTTGCTGCAGGAGGCATCTGTCCCGTCTCGCACCCCGCACCCCCTGGCCAGCCCACAGAGGACAACTAACAATGCTGACCCGGCCCTCAAAGAAATCCAGTTTGACACCCCTGTGCTAGAGATTTTGCACCTGTTAAGAGTCCATGGCATTATGAAAAAATAGGAACGATCAAAAGATGAGACTTTAAGCAACAAAATCCAGCCTGTACATGGATTTTATCTTCTGTTCAACTTTTTCTTTAAGAATTCTCCATGACAGAAATATGCCAAGTGAGATAAAACAAAGAGAGTGACTTTACTGGAGGGGTCATGTGATAGTATCTTCTGTTCTCTAAGAAGATCTAATTAGTTTTTATTTTATGATCCCATAGGTTCAGAAATATTTATTTTCCTCGGCATGGATCTCTAATATAAGTTTTTAGTTGGAAGGTCATGGCTGATTATCAGACATCACTACCCCTGCAATCGATTGGACCAACAATAGTGTAAACTGGATATAAATAAAATAAAATACCTGATCGAGCTCTGCTGGGAAATTCTGACACAGCATCTACTTGGAGAGATTCCATCCGTTTTACAAGTTCAATTGGTTCAGGATATCTTTCCTATTACACAGAACAAGAATAAGAAAAAGTGATGAAATTGTAGGAAGAATGTAGCCTTCAAAGGAATACAGAATAGGGTGCCTTTCAAAGGTAACCCTGATGGATTGTACAGCTATGTGTTTGATAACTTACTTTTAATTCTCTCACATGGTCTTCCACATCCTGTTCAAAGTTTTCATGGTAATATGGGTTGTAAATCAAATGTATTTCTACAATAAAAGAATTAGTGAAAAAATTGAAATAAAAATCAATAACACCCTCACTGGCAATGAGAGGTGTAATTATGTTAATTTAAGTTTGCACATCCTTCTAAGTTATGGTTAGAATTAGAATTGCTTTAAACTAGCCTTGTCCCTTGAGTTCTGTAAAACAAAAGTCCTAGCATGTAGTTTTCTCCTACATTATTTTTATACTAACAGTTACGCAAATGATAAATAATAGACCTGGCCATAGATTATGTGATTTATAGAGCTATGTTTAATTCAGGTAGTCCTCAACTTACAACAATTTATTTTGAAGTGACAACGGCAGTGAAAAAAGTGACTTACAACCATTTTTCACACTTATGACCATTGTAGCATTACGCTCGGATGCTTGACTTCCATTTATGATGGTTGCCAGAGTCACATGATCCTCCTGGCAAGCAAAGACAATGGGACGCCAGATTCACTTAACCGTGTTACTAATTTAACTAACTGCGTTGATTCACTTAACAAATGTGGCAAGAGAAGTCGTAAAATGGGGCAAAATTCACTTAACAAATTTCTCGCTTAACAACATAAATTTTGGGTTCAGTTGTAGTTGTCAAGAGAAGACTACCTGTATTCAGATTTAGCCGGAAACATGCTATGTATCTATAAATCCCAGAATTCTGAGAGTTGAAGTCCGCCAGGCTTAAAGTTGCCAAGGTTGGAGACCCCTGCCATAAATCATTGAAATGAAAATGTCTCTATATAGTTTATTCAGGGGTGGGTGGATCAGTACATATGCAAAAGCTCCATGCAGGCAAACCCTTCAGCTATTCCCTGAAAACAGACTAAATAGGAACGGAATGAGGAAAAACAAAACCACTGCACATATCTTATTATGTAAATTCTTATTCTTTGAGCTTTTAGAAGAAGTAATAAGTGTATCTAGAATTCTCATTATGTTAATTTAGTAGGTTGCACTTGGAAGTTCTTATGTGTAGTTTTCAAACTATGTTACATAGGTGAGAAGTGGATGTTACAATATGGTGGAGAAATCATTTAGACGATTTATGAGCTTTGATATAATGCATGAAAACCCAATTCTCACAGATTCCAGAAATCAGGAAATCTATTCCATTCCTTTCCACTACGTTTTTAGAAAGTATGTAAAGCTTTTCCCCCCCTCCAGTTCTAGTTCTAGTTTGAGGTCTGCATTATTTGTTTTGATATGTACAATGAACGCCGGGTCACAATGCTGTATAATGTATGAGAAAGTTCCACGTGCACCTTAACTGGTTTCATTTTGCCGCTTATGGAAAGCGATCCACATTTTCTTTATGTCCAGTTGTGCGCTACCATTATCTTTTTGCCTTGTTATAAATCAGAGGTCTCCAAACTTGGCAACTTTAAGACTTGTGGAGTTCAACTCCTACAATTCTGGGAGTCGAAGTCCACAAGTCTTAAAGTTGCCAAGTTTGGGGTCCCCCGTTATAAATAGTTAGCAGAAGTATCTTATATTACCTGAAAAAGTTGGGCGATCATTTGGATGTTGCTGCCAAGCTCTTTCCATTAAAACGATAATCTCATTTGGACAACTGTCTTCCACCTCTCTGACAGGTGGCCTGTTCCCTACTGTGACGCAATAGCACAGCTGCATATCATTGACTGCATCTGGATGAGGAAGAGAGAGAGAAGAATCGGGCATGAGTAGAGCATGAGGCTGATTACATGCAGTACAACATTTTATAAAGTAGAGATATTTGATCATAAACTCTTACTCTCGTAAGGTTCTTTGGAGGCAAAAATGGCCCATAAGACAATGCCAAAACTGTAAACATCTGATTTCTCCACAGGTATTGTGTTGATGTCCTTCAGATGTTCTGGGGCCATGTAGGAAAGGGTGCCAGCATTAGACTTGGAATCCTGTTTGATTTTCCTCTGTCGACTGGTCTCTTCTTTAGTCAGCCTGCTCCAGTTTTTGAAACAAGCCATACCAAGGTCTGCTATCTACAAAACAGATGAGGGTAGAGTTTTGGGAATAAGAAGGGAAAGCGTCCACAGGGGGCAGGATGATCTGTCCCTTTTGTGCTTGTGTCATTGTGTGGCATGCACATACAAATGAACCGAGCTTTTGTTGCAATTAGTAACTTTGACAAAAGCCTCTGATCCTCTAGATCTGGGATGTCACACTAGCGACGACACACTGTTGTCATGTGAGGTATTGCCAACCAGAGGGGGCGTGGCCAGCACGTGATGCATCCGGGCCGTGGGCTTGACACCCCTGCTCTAGTTGCCTCAGTACATGGCCCAGATGAAAGCAACCAAGACTCTGGCAGGTGACATGCTTACTTGTATTGAGCGTTTCCAACATATTTGGATGTCATCCAATATGGTAGGTTTCTCTGGCCAGCAAAGCAAAAGCAATATTCTCATGCAAACAAATTGGAAAGGCTTGCAGTACCATAGGTATATGGTTAAGACCAGGGGTTTCCAACCCCCAAGCAAAACCCTATCTGCGGGATGCAGGCAGTGCACAAAGCCACATCCCTCTAGTCCGTGGAAAAACCTCTCTCCGCGGAACTAGTCCCTGGTATTCAAAAGGTTGGGGTCCACTGGTGCAGACTAACTTCTGGGGGAATACATAGTGAGCTGAAGACATCTCCATGAAAGCAGAGCCAAAGACTGCGGCAGAGATTAAAGAATTGGTGAGTAGACCATTCTTCAGAACCTCTCCAAGTATGGAAAGGATAGGAGATCACCCACAAGTGCTCCAGATGGCTACTTTTGCAACAGCAGCCATCTCCCACTGGTTTAAGCACTGGAAAAGCTTAAGCATCAAAAATAACCTATTAACCATCTTAAAGCTATTAGGAACCTTCGGAATAAGTTTGAAAAGTAAACAGGTGAGTTTAGCTTCAACTCTGAATAAAAGAAAAACTACAATATTAAAAACTTAAATAATTTGAAATAAACAGCAGAAAGCTAGATAAAGTTATACATGGATTAAGGGTTCAGATAATTTTGGGATATAGCTCCTTGTGGGAACCACAATTATTGTAGCTATCTTGGCTCTCAGTAAAGAGAAGCAACTCGGATTTTAGAAATTGGACACTGAAGGGAGACTAAAGATTCAAAGTAGAAGGGGGGAAAATATAAGCCAGCTTTTGGTGTCGGATAATGGGGACTTACAAAATTATACAAAATGTCACAACACTGAAAATATTAAAAAAAGATCTTTGAAGAATGGAGGCAACTGGTTCTTGTTATCTGTATAATGATTTAGACAGCCCTGGCTGTAATTCTGTTGAACTGCTTTTTAGGATTGGGCAGGAAGTCAGAAATGTTTTTGTCTTTCGATTCATGCCTTTTTAAAACAAAACTCTGATGACCCAGGGTAGGATACAAAATAAACACAGTCACAAAAAACAGGTGAAGGCCCTTTTATTCCTCCACTTTGCTTCCAAGCTCCAAATATCCTTGGAGAAAAAAACTCCCACACAAGCAGTTACAAGAAGGAAGAAATGGCGTTTAAATTATAAGGAGTAAAAAACAACACAAACCAGGCAAGGGCTGGAAGACGTCCACAGATATCAGAACGCACACTGGGAAGGATGCCAAACTCAGAGAGGAACAATAAACTAGAGATATTTCCACGCTTTGTTTCCAGCACTCGCCCGTACGCATGTCCATCCTCTTATCCAGTTGTAACAGCTGCAGCCCATGAAGAGGATCAAGGCCCTCTCCTCCCCAGTAGACCACATCTCTCCCTTATCCTCTCCTCCCTGCGTGCCCTAGGATGGAGAGGCCTGGGTCCTCCTCTGACTGCCCAGCCGGCCTCTGCCCTTCCCCAGCCTCCTCCACAACCTCTGGAGCCACATTTCCACTCCCTGTGGGCTGTTCCTCCTCTCCCTCAGAGTCAGTCTCCACCAGGGGCATGACAAAAACAAAACAATAAAACAGAATTACAATGACATACAATCTAACAACATTCAGTCTCCACTGATTCCCAATCTCTTTCACATAATCCATAGACCCCCCCAAAGACTGTGCGGCTGAAAATCCCCCATCTTCTGGTGCTATTTTGGTCTTGCCCAATGCTCATTCATGAAACTCTTAAAAATTAATATCTCCAGGCCACCAAAAAAGCTGCTGACCTGATGAAGCTGATATGGCAGAATGCAAATCCAGATCAACAGTAAAAGCTGAAAAGCTATGATCGTGGCTCTTGTTGTGACCAGGACTTTGTTTTCTTAGTCCCATTCTAGAAACCCTGTAGAATAGTCCAAAAAGTCATTTGAAGAAGTCTGCAAATTAACACTACCACTATTGCTTCTTCCCTCTTCCACCCCAGTTCTTTTCCCTTTAAAGTCAGACTTCTTAACAGAGGTGGCATGTGATTCTCAATTCCCCTTTTGGTAGCCTTGGAACCATCATAGAACATAATTTCTGAAAGCTGGGGGAAACAAATTTTTTTAAAAAATCTGGTGCAAACCCTAAAATAGGTAAGTTCACTGTGAGAAGAAAATCTCTAAAACTGGCTTCCATGCTGACATTCTAAGATCTATGCTCAAGTTGTGATTGAGCAAGTTGTGATTTTCACACTTTAAGCCTAGAATAAGTTGCTAAGTTTGGGGACCCGTCGTAGACCCTTTCCAGAGATATTGGTTTCTCCTTCCAGCCAGCACAATCAGTAGCAAGATGTCAAGAGCACTATAATCTAGAAGAACTGGAGGCCACTATAATGGCTGTCTCTACTTTACTTTTAATCATCTAAACTTGCTTTAAATAAAGAACCAAGGATGTCCTCGGACTCCCACACCCAGCCTGGAGTAAGTTTTCAGTGTGAAGAAAGTCTTTTGCACACCTGATGGTACATTTCCCTTTACCCAACACAAAAATCTTAAAATGACATTGCAGGAAAGGAAAGAGTAAAACAGTCAGATATACTGAGAAAGGAAAATTGAGTTGCTGTACCACAAATCCATCTAGTGAAAGTCAAGCCCTCCCAAACACCCCTTTATAGCCTAACAGGCAAACATACATTTAACAAACACTTGTGCTCTGATTTTCCTAGAAACTAAAAATGTGTGTGTCTGTGTGCTCACGTTACCTTGATGTGAAATTCTTCATCCACAAGAATATTTTCTGGCTTCAGATCTTTGTGCACTAAACCTTGTTCTGTTAAGTAAAGCATTCCTTCAATGATCTCCTGGATAAAACGTCCTTTCAAAGGTAAAGGAATAGAAGTCTGTAAGAAAGAAAGAAAAGCAATTCCAGAAAAGTATTGATTATATTCAGTTTAGATATCTACAAAACTGAATTTACCAGGTTGGATAGCAGGTCGTGAAAAAGTTACTGAGGAATTCAGATCCATTAATATAGGACATTGGCCAAGCATGATGGATGGATGGATCTGGAAAGCATTCACTTGGGGGGAAGATTTTCAAATCATTCTTATAGAAGTGTGAATGGATGACTTATAGCAGGAGTCCCCAAACTTGGCAACTTTAAGACTTGTGGACTTCAACTCCCAGAATTCTCCAGCCAGCATAAAATTCTGGGAGTTGAAGTCCATAAGTCTTGAAGTTGTCAAGTTTGGAGACCTCTGACTTATAGCTTTCCCCCAGCTATGACTGCTTCCTACACCTGTAGAAAATACACATCTGAATTCCATCCGACTTCTTATTTTGCACTTTCCCCATCATTGAACAATCCCGTCATCGTATTGTATTATTCAGCAATCCCATGTAATAAGCCCTATAAGCACCCATGGTTTGGGAATTAAAATCCAAACCATTTTCATGGCCATATAAAAAACATCACCTCTAGCAAATGTTAAGATTGACTAACATCTCCTAGCTTTTAGGCACTTTCTCCAAAATGACAGTGGATTATTCTGCGAGTTATCAATATACTTCCTACTTACTGCTTTTAGAACAGACATCAAGTCTCCTTTGCGTAGGTATTCAATCACAAGGGAGTAGTTTCCATCTTCCAGGATGACACCAAGTAGTTTCACCACCCGATCGTGATTTAGTTTGTGCATGATCATGCCTTCCTCTAGAAGGGAAGTGTTACATCTGGAAAATAATTACTATAAGCGTTATCAAGAGAACTGGAGATCTAACGTTCTAAAATCTATGCTCGTGTTGTGATTTTCAGATTTTTAAGCCTAGAATAGGCAACCTGGTATTTTCCAGATTGGCTTCTCCTTCCAACCAGCACAATCAGTAGCGAGGCATCAAGAGCCTTTTAAATCTAGAATAGCTGGAGGCCATCACGATGCCTAACTCTGCTTTAGTTGTATTCATCTGAACTTGCTGAAGTGAGGGATCGAATTGTGATGACAACAGGCACAGTTAAACACAAGCCATAATCCCTAGTGCCATCAGATCTTTTGCACTACAAGTCTCACAAACCTTACTCAACTGTGATGTTTGAGATGAACACAACTGCCGTGCACTACGCTGCAAAAAACTGGTATAGTGAAACTGCAATCAATGAGGTGAATGAATGAGAAGTGGTCATATATATGAGTGGCAATTCCTATTATTACCAGTGGTGTATTCTATTGTTTTTACACTAACAGGAATATTAAAGGATCCAGGTTCTTTCTTGCTCGCTTTTCCACTATCCCTTACACTTCAATACGTATGCAGGTCTGGGGAACAGCTGCATTTTAATTCCACAATAAATTAGTGTAGGACATTATAGGAAGTTAAAATGCCTCATACTATTGGTGTCATGTAAAAGAAAAAAGGAGGGTATTCTATAGGTAGATACCTGAATGAATCCTCAACTGGTGCCTTTTACAGAGCCAGCAGCAATGAACCACCTGCAGCAAAAATTAGCTGAAAGTCTGCAAGATCAAAAATACACACAACTACCAGGCTAATTCTCCTGACTGCCAACAGTTCGATCCTGACCGGCTCAAGGTTGACTCAGCCTTCCATCCTTCCATCAGTAAAATGAGGAGACAGGTTGTTGGGGGCAATATGCTGACTCTTTAAACCACTTAGTGAGGGCTATAAAAGCAATATGTAGCTGTATATAATGCTAAGTGTTATTGCTTGTGCACTTTTCTTAAAACAAATCTAGTTTGTCTGGGAGAAGCCAAATGTTGGGATCCTTCCTTTTACATTCTTATTAAACACCCACTGGGAAAATCTTGCTTTAGTAATCATCTCTGGTAAGCAAATCTTTAAAAAGATAGAGAATGAACAAATTCAGCCAAAAGATCAGCTAATCTGGTTTGAAATTTCCAGGACACTTCCAACAATTCTGTCCCACCCTCTCTCATCTGCGAAGAACATTTATCCAACTTACTCTGTGCGTTGAGGTCCAGTATACACAGTTTTTAATACTACAAGCCCATGATTTTTGTGGTAGCATAATGAGACAGTTCCAAAACCACCAGCATTCAGCTGGCTTTTTTCCAAAAAATCATCTGATTTCATCTGGATGTCAGCCAAGGCCATGACTGTGGTTCACAGAGCACTTTAATTCCGAAAAAAAAAAAATCCAATGCCTGAAATGTTAATACAGAAGAGAAGGTATTTTATGATCCATCCTTCAATTCCTACTCTAGATTTTGGACAAAGCAGGTACTTTTGTAACCTTCTAAAATGTTCAGAAGATGACTTCATCTTCCGCATCCCTAATGCCTATTTAGTAATTAATCCCCAACTATTCAATGGTACATCCTTAGGAATGAAACCCCAAAGTAAGTTTCAATTTCCTTCACTGTCTCAATCAGAGGTAGATACCCTGGCTTCCTCTAGATGTCTTGGACCTCAGTCCAACCATGGTAATATTAGAATTGATGGGACTTGCTACCCAAAATATACAAAGAGCAACCAGCAGCCTATTACCTAATTTAAAGAGGTTAATTCAGGAGTCCCCAAACTTGGAAAGTTTAAGACCTGTGGACTTCAACTCCCAGAATTATCCAGCCAGCTATGCAGACAGTCAAATTTTTCAGCATAGCAACTGGAAAGGATTCTGCCTGGATGATAAATATTATTATAAAGCATTTACACGTCAGAGTTCATGTCTATGTAGATTCTCAGTCATCCAGCTCATGATTATCCCAAACGTTCTGTTCAAAAGGCAACTGAACTTCCTTGTTCTTTCCCCCTCCTGCAAATATTTCACTTCTCATCCAAGAAGCTTCTTCAGTTCTAAACTTCTTGGATCAGAAGCAAAACATTCTTAAGGGGAAAATATCGAGAAAGTCCAGTTGCCTTTTGAATAGCACTTTTGGGACATCAATGTTTAGTAAGTCTAGAAGAGTTCATATAAACAGAAACAAAATCAGAAAAAAGGGAAGTATTAAAAAAAAAAACCTATCACTTTAAAAATACATCATGTAGATCAAGGGTCTTCAAACTTGGCAAGTTTAAGACTTGTGGACTTCAACTCCCAGAATTCCTGAGCTAAAATGACTGGAGGAGGAATTCTGGGAGTTGAAGTCCACAAGTCTTAAAGCTGTCAAGTTTGAAAACCCCTTGATGTAGATGGTAGCAAAAACACATAGGTAAGCTGGCTCAACTGGAAGAAGCCACTTCTGAGAAAGGCTCAGCAGCAATTGCTGTAGAGTGCTCTTGCATAAAAGCCTTCTTTTGTGGCACCTCAAAACCATCTCCTTGGCCATTGCAAGCACTAGATCATAGACTAGATGGAGTTTTTATCCTTTTGAGGAAACTGCCTTATTAATAATTTAATTTCTTAATTTAATTAAATTTCTTCTAACTGTCTAGAGTTTAGACATTATCAAAGATGCCAAGGATTGAATCTTGGACCTTGAAACCTTATGTAGAAAGTGATCTATCAGAGATATCTCTTTCCCTGAAGACCTGTAGAGCAGAGGTCTCCAAATTTGGCAACTTTAAGACTTGTGGACTTCAACTCCCAGAATTCTCCAGCCAGCATAAGGTAAAGGTAAAGGTGCCCTTTGCACATATGTGCTTGTTGCTTCCGGCTCTAGGGACCGTGCTGTCCGTTGCTGTCCAAAGACGTCTCCGTGGTCATGTTGCTGGCATAACTAAATGCCGAAGGCACACAGAATGCTGTTACCTTCCCACTAAAGTGGTGCCTATTTTTCTACTTGCATTTTTACATGCTTTCAAACTGCTAGGTTGGCAGAAGCTGGGACAAGTAACAGGAGCTCACTCTGTTACGTAGTGCTAGGGATTCGAACCACCGAACTGCCAACCTTTCTGATCGACAAGCTTAGCATCTTAAGACACTGAGCCACCGCGTCCCCCCCTCCAGCATAGCTGGCTGGAGAATTCTGGGAGTTGAACTCCACAAGTTTTAAAGTTGCCAAGTTTGGGGACTCCTGCTGTAGTAGAGCATCTTAAAGAAATCTGCATGTTTCAGAAAAGCTTCAAAAGTGATGGTGCAAAATGCAGAGAATTATGGCACCCCTTTAGAGCTTTTTTTCAAACGTTCAAGAGATTAGGCTCCACACATAATTCAAGAAGGGGTTGCTTCAGAAAATATGGGAAAACACCCCAAAATGGGTGCTTTAATAAGCATGATCTGGAATTCAGCACCAACTTTTTAAATAATGTTAAATGAATTAAATAAATACTCTTGAGGACTCAACCAACGCGGGGACTGACAAAACAAAGATATAGCCAGGTGTTTATCATGAGGGATGAAAAAATACACACCTGCAGTATTCTAGGCATGAACACAGAGTAGAATCAGGAAACCTGTTTGTTACTAGAGTGCAACAAAAATCCAGGTCGGATCCATCTAATGTGTGGATAAATTGCCTGTTTCTGGAGGAAGATATGAAAGAAATTCTCCAGATTTATTGATTTAGTATATGTCCAAAATGTTAAAAAGCATTTCGCAAGTACATTCTCAGTAAGCAAATGGGAGCAAAGATATTTAGGAGACATCATATACCGGTGCATCTTATTTCCCAGCAGAGCACTCGGGGCACGCTTGAAGTTTGCTTCATAAAGTGACTCCGACTGATAAGACTGAATAGGAAGTGGTTATGGAAGTACATGTTATGTTTTCATATGTCTGCTCTTGACTCTCATTTTACTTTGTTGCCTCGTTTTATTTTTTAAATAATAATAAACAAACAGATTCACCTTTATATATAAACTCTTTTGGAGCTGGTGAAAATCATAAAGGTAGAACAGATGCTGCCACTGATTTGGAACCTCCAGATTTTGTTCAGAGGGCACTGCCTACCTAGACTTATAAAAAGTTCTCCCTGAGGAAAACTCTGGGCATAAGAAAGGGAGATTGTGTAATAATAGGGTACCCCTTTCCTGGAAGCACCTAATTTCTGATCTTTTTGACTGCAGCTAAACCCACAAACCCGGAAAGGCATTAGGAGTTGCTTATTCTTTCTATTTTCTATTCCTATTTTGGTTTTTAAGATCCGTGAAGTCAGTTCAGTTCCTTCTTTCTCACACCCGAGAGAGAGACAGACAGACAGACAGACACAGACACAGACACAGACACAGAGAGAGAGCCTGGCCTCGCCATTGCAACTTCAGAGGCATAAAAAGAAACGTGGAGAAAGCCGGGGCGGCGCGCGAACCTTTTTAAAAAAATTCTATGGATTTCAACGGTCAGGGTTTCCTCAGCCGTCTGTCCGGTTGAAGTCCGCACATAAAAAAAAAAAAAAAGTGAGTGGCATTGAGAAACGCTTAAGGCTGCAAACAGGAAAGAGGCTATAGCAGAGAGCCCCAAACTTGCCCAACTTTAAGACTTGTGGACTTCAACTCCCAGAAGTCCTCAGCCAGCATAGCTTTCAGCATAGCTGGCTGAGGAATTCTGGGAGTTGAAGTCCACAAGTCTTAAAGTTGGGCAAGTTTGGAGACCTCTGGCTATTTCTATAACCTTCCCGGTTACATCGCGGACTTCGTAGCTGAGCGGAAGGGCTGGTCTAAATCCTCCGACCAGAAAGCCGAGCTGCTTTCGGTTTTACTTTCGGCTTTCCCCGCCTTTCCAGGTCCCCCACCCCCCCGCGATCGTTGCCTAAGGAAATCAATCAATCAATCAGTCGCGACTGATGAACATCCCATGGCTGTCTCCAACCCTTTGAAGAGCCAGCGACCCACCCCTAATCGTAATGCGGGGGGGGGGGGGGCGAAAAAGCGCGGAAGAAACGCAAGAGGGGACATCAGAAGCGCGGGTTAGATAGAGACGTGGAGAAAAACAGACCCGGTTCCCTTTTACCTATATTCTCCTCCAAAGCGGGGGGGAGGGGGTGTCCACCCGTTTGCGCGCTCCGGAAAGATGGGGATCTCCTCTTGCTAAATCGACCGCCACCGCTTCGCCTGTTCCTTCCTCCTTCGCCGAAACTCTTTCGGGGCGGAGTTAGGCGGGGACAAAAGAGAGGACGGAAGCTCTCTTCAGCCTAGGAAACACGCATCTTTCACGTTTTGCAGACGTGAAGAAGCCTCGTTAGATGTCAAGTCCTCGAGGTTCTGATCTAGAACGTCAGATCAAACCAAAACTTTATTAGGGACACAGGATCAATCTCTCTCTCTCTCTTTTTTAAAAAAGCAAAGCAGTTAAAATGAAAATAGGAAGCTAAAAATAAAGGGAATTAATGCAGATTTTCAGGTCTCAGGAAAGACGTTTGGAAGAGAAATCTAGGTCCGGTTCCGAACTGGGAATAAAATGGAGGCTGATTGGAAAGAAAGATTCTGTTTATCGTGAACAGAACCATCACACACATACACAACCTGCCGTTTTGGGACAGCTGACAACATGGAGTTGAGAGGAGGGTGGGTTTTTGTACCTTTTTTTATTTTTATGGGGTCATGTAGGGGTCATGGCTGGCTCTATAGGCGAAAGGGGAAATGCAAATCCTAAGTGTTTGTCTAAAGCAGGGATGTCAAACTTATGAAGTGACTTTTTTCCCCCTTCACTAAAAGGGGTGGGCGTGACACATCCGGCCCCCAGGCCGTGAGTTTGACACCCCTGGTCTAAGCTAATTTTGTCTTGCTTAATTGCTTATCTAGAGTTTCTGTCTGACCCAGTATTTCTGAATGGATTACCAAATTCTAAAAGCTGGCCTCCTCAGTTTCTGCTTGGGTCAGGGAGACTGGGGCTGGTTTCTGCCTCCCTTAAGATTTTTTTCCCCATTTCTCCTTTAAGGGAAATATTCTGTCCTGACTTTTTAAAAATTTCCTAAAATATTTCATTTTCTAGGAGGGTTGGTGGGGTGCTGACTTTCTACAACATGGAATAGTACAGGGGACTGAGCAACCTGGAAAGCTTTATCCAAATGGCAATTGGATCAAGAATGATAAATAGCAGTTCCCTATAAAAAAATTCCTTCATGATAAGATACATATGGCTCAAAGACTCTACTGAGGCATCCCTACAAGGGCATGTACACTGATAAAGTGTACACTGATGTTTAAAATATGATACCAAGTTCTAACATCCAAGTCCATCTCTAAACAGACATTTTTAGTGTATGTTGGGACTGCAGGGATAGATGAGATGGCTTCCTGGATGTTAGGATTTCTAAAAGGACAGCGTAGAAGAGTTGACAGTTGACCTAGGCTAGGAAGACCTTGTAAGAGAGGAAGTAGGCGTCTTTTGAGTGAAAAACATTCAGGATAGTTGAGCTACGCCATGGTGTACCATTTTCCAGACATAGAAAGTATTTGAGGACAAGAAAGTCCTGCAATAGCAAACCATTGAGTATTTATAAATACATACCTCTCAATATATCCCCATTAATTTGCCAGTTATGAACGCCATGATACTTTTATACAAATACCAGGACATTAGTTTTCTGACAATGTAGTTAACTAGTTTTTATTCTTAACAGAACAAAGCCAAAGCTCTCGTTTCTTTCCTATTTCCACTTGGGAGACAATTAAGTTTTCTGCTTATAGAAAAGCTGGATCCACTTGCCCCGCTAATACAGGGGAGGGATGAGTGGGGAAACAGAGGGCTGGGATTATTGGGTTGGTATTTTGGTTAAAAGGTTGAAGGGGGCTGAAATCTGGCCAGGTTCTGTACAGGGGCTGCACCTTTTATACCCTTAGATTAGAGAAAAAAATAATGCAATTTGAAAAGGGATTGACAAATATTTTTCTGCATTAGCAGCGTAGTGATTATCTACTTATGTAGGTTAAATATTTAAATATTAATAGTCCTAGTTTAACAATCACTCATTTAGCAACCATTTGAAGTTATGATGCCACTGAATGAATTGTATTTATGATGGGACCTCATAAATGGACCTTGTAGTTGTGGCCATCACAGTGTCACTGCGGTCAAGTGATTTTTGTCGACAAGGTCACACTTATGATTGTCACAGAATCCTGCGGTCACATCATCACCATTTACGATTTGCACTTCTGGCTTCCGATAAGCAAAGTCAATAAGGAAGCTGGCAGGAGGTTACAAATGGCAACCACACCATGTCACACTTCATGACATTGTGGGACTCCCTTAATGGTGATAACTGGAAGTGCCAGAACTGTTGTCACAAAGTGGTGTGATCCCATGATGTTCTTTATGACCACATTGCTTAGTGATAGAATTTTCTGTACCAGATATTGTCACTAAGTAAAGACTTTCTGTAATAAAGAACAACAAGTCAGCAACACTGACTTGCAACTATACTTTGTCTAAGACTGTGTGGGTTTCCTTCCAGCTGCTTTTTCCTATCCTAGAACCAATGAGGATGAATTAATCAATCAATCCTTTCTCGGGTCTTTCGGAAGGATAAAAATGCCAGATCTATTCTAAATAACTGGCTGACTATGCAAATCGCGCAATGGTGATTCACTTGGTAATTTGAAGTGCAAGGGTGACATCGTGTGGTTCATTCAAATACCGCATTGTCTTGACATTTGCTATCTAGAACTAAACGGATGAAGGCCAAAAATGTGAAAATCTCTGTTCACATAACTTCTAGTCTGGTACTTGAACCTGAGCATTTTTCAGAATTGTCCACAAGGAGAAAAGTGGGGAAAAGAGAGAAACATACGCTCAGCTAGAGGAAGTCTGGACAATAGGAACAATGATCATATCTGCATTACTGAATCAGGAAGAGACAGGAAAACTCTCCATCCCAAGGAACAGAAAACCAAGTCATTGGTAGAGCCTCTAGTATAGGTAGTCCTCAACTTAAGACCACAACTGAGCCCAAAATTTCTGTGGCTAAATGAAACATTTGTTAAGGGAGTTTTGCCCCATTCTATGACTTTTCTTGCCACCGTTGTTAAGTGAATCAGCAGCAGTTGGTAAATTAGTAACATGGTTGTTAAGTGAAATTGATTTCCCCATTTGTCAGAAGGTTGCAAAAGGTGATCACACGACCCCGGAACACTGCAACCGTCATAAATATGAGTCAGTTGCCAAGCATCTGAATTTTGTTTACGTGACCATCAGGATACTGCAGTGGTGTGAAAAATGGTTGTAAGTCATTTTTTTCAGTGATGTAACTTTGAACAACCACTAAATGAACTGCTGTATGACAAGGACTACCTGTATTCATGCAACATTGCACTGGGTATGAGTAAGGCAAAGAAGGAACTGAAAATCCTATTAGAGGAAAGCACTAAAGGATAATTAGATATCATGGAGGTCTGGTGGGGTGAGATTTATGATTAGACTATTAAACTTAAGACTTTTGATTTGTTCAAAACAAAAAACACAAATAGAGAAGGCAGGGCAGCCGTTTTATATAAAGAAGCCATAAAGAAATTCATGTCCCTAAAAATGGACCTCCATTAAAATTAACAGGAAAAATGAAGAAAAAGTGACTGTGTATGTTGTATACAAGGGTCTTCTCTAGACAGGAAGGGGACCATCCCTTTCTAAATCAATGCATAAATATCCTGGTATCTTCTTACTCATTTATACTTTATACACTGGTAATTCAATAGGTGTATGATCATTCTTGCTGACAATTTTATTTTTTTCAGAATGCAGAAAAAGAAACCCACCAAATCCTAACCAATGGAGAAGAATTCATGCATGGTCTGAAAATATCGGACATCTTAGGGGACAGCAATCATGCCACATTGGAAGTTCTAAATGACTAGGGGACAAAAAGCTAACAGAAGTCAATCATTTCCCTGGACCTCAGAATGGTTGCAATAAATTCAGGTGGAACTTTGGCACTGTATCATGGCTTGAAATCCTGAAGAAGAAACATGTTAACAGCAATGGGGAGATCCTGTTTTAATTGTCAAAGGCTTTCTCTCCATCTGAAAAAATCTATGCAACTTGTTTTTTATTGTTATTCCAAAACGGTCCACAAACTTTTCCTTTTTAACGTTGAACTTTAATTGTCTTTTATGTAAGAACCCACACTGATCCTCATGAATGAATTCCTGCAAAATTATTTTCATTATTTCAGCTGGAATCATTAGAGTTGTAAGGGAGAACATTGTGTTTCATAGAGATTCTGAAAGTTTATCCTCAAAACTTTTATAGTACAAACCTGATAAACAATCAGATCCTGGCATCCTTCCTTGAGCTTTTTTATACCTTCCAAAATTTCCCTTATTGTTGTAAGTTCATTCCTAATTTTCAAAACTGCCCCTATTGTTATTACGCCATTCATAATTTTCTTTCTCCCTCTAATCTTTGTAGATTTTGTTTAAAAATTGGAATACTGATGAAATGCATAGCGACATTAATCATTAATGCAGTATTTCTATGTTGAAGTTTCAACATCTTTTCCTCTTTCTTTTCTAGCTTATATGCCAGCCATTTCCTGTTCCCCCACCCACAAAGTCAAAGGTTGAGGGTTTTTTGTTCTTTGCATGGTTCATTTTAAATATCCACTTCCCTTAATAACATAGATAGCTGTTGCTTTAAAAGCTTAATTTGTTAAGAGGGATTTATCTTCTCTGGAAATTTCTTTAATCTTTTCTTTTGATCTCATCCAAAATATTTTGGGTTTTCTTTTGCCGCCTTCTGGTGTTATGTTTTATAAAATAAAAGTTTTACTTGCATCCCAAGCCATTCTCAAATCAAATTGTAGCACCTTATATTTAACTCATGGGCTTTCCCTGCCACACAAATTTAGATACATCCTTTTGCCATTGTTTAAATGCTGCATCAGTTGTCAAAATGTGTCCCATTGGAGATTATGAATTATTATACACCCACGGACTGGGGGAAGACCAGGGTCAAGGGTGAAATGAATGATGTGTCTCAAGTCACACCCAGGTAGCACCAGCATGTTCACTCCTAATAAATCTCCTTTAATCTCTGAGAGATCTGGCTACGTCTCTATTCAGTATTTCAAGAACCAAAATAAACAAGAGAGGAAACAAGGGGCAGTCTTATCTTGTTCCTTTTGTATCCTTTTGTATGGTTTTATT